GTGAGCCACCTCCTGGCTGGTGAGGTTCCCCACGGAGCAGAGTGCTACCCTCTGCAGCCTGCTTGTGTTCTCCCTAGCCCCAGCGAGGCGCCGGACTGTGGACACAGGAGTGTCCAGGGAAGGGGTTGAACAAGCTCACAGTCAGCAGCTGGGAGAAGCGGAAAGGACCTTGGGCTTACGATGGTTAGAAGGACCAGGGATGGTCTGGTCCTAACATAAAACCGACCTGAGGACAGTACTCAGAAAGTCAGAGAGCCCACCTTTTTATTTTGGAACTGCAGGACTATTGTGCTGGTTCAAGTTTATTTTGAGGGAAGAAAAGAATCAGCTGGAGATTTTAAAGATAGCCTAAGACACCTTTCTGTGCAAATGATTTTAACAGAAGGCCTACTAATGCTCCTTTTTTTTTTTTTTTTTTTGGTATCGGGGATCAAACTCAGGTCCTTGCACTTTCGAGGCAGGCGGCAGAACCACTGAGCTAAATCCCCAGCCTAGTGGGATTTTTGTTATGTAGCGCCACCGAAGGTAACTATCGCCACCTGGTGGCAATATTCTTTAATTGCAGATTCTTCCGAAGTCTAGGTGAAATGCGTAAAAAATCACCTGAAGTAATCAGTGTTTATTATTTAAGGGACCATATGACCACCTATGTGTTCTGAAATAAGAGGCACACATCAGGTTCTTGTTTGGAAACAGTGGATTTCTCCATATACAAGAGCAGCTCAGAAGGGAATGGTTTGGGGTGCTGGGTAGATACCAGGGTTTCATATTGCCTTGTGGTCATTGGGGAGACTTCGGAACCAACCTGCCAAGTCTCTCTCTTGTGTGGCTTGGTCAAGGGGCCAGCTTCTCCTTAGCCCATGGGTGCTCAGGATGCATAACTCCCCCCATCCCCAGAGTGCTGAGGATTGAACTTAAGCTCTGACATGCTAGGTAAGGGCTCTACCATTTAGCTACATCCCTAGGCTCAGGAGGCATTGTTTTATATTTGCTATGCTGAGGATTGAACCCAGGGCTTTTTCCATGAGCTACATCCCCAGCCCATTTTTTATTTTGAGATGGTCCAGCTAAGTCACTAAGTTGCCCAGGTGGGGCTCCAACTTGTGATCCTCCTGTCTCAGCCTCCCAGACTGCCAGGATTACAGGCATGTGCCGCCAATGCTGGCTCAATTTTTATATTTAAAGTTAACCCAGAAGTTGATTATTATATTCTTGTCTTGATTTTAAAATCTGTGGCATCCCTAGGCTCAGGAGGCAAGGGACCTTGTGCTTTCGAGGCAGGCGGTGGAACCTCTGAGCTAAATCCCTGGCCCTATCTGTGGCAATTTCTGAAGATTAAAATCTACCACAGCCACAAAAGCTAGTCATGTCCTCAAGAGGTAGCTGTGTGTGCCTCAGATATGCCTCACACCTACAGAACATCTGATTGACAGTTTTGCTATCAATTTCAGTTGTCTTTGTGAGTTGGTTTTTAAAGGGTTGATTTCAGAAACATCAGTCACTTGTTTCTATAAATGTTTTAGAATGCAAATTGAATGTGATGAAATATTAAAAATACCATTCATTAAATATTGAAAAGTTCAGTATCTGGAACTGGCCAGATCTCTTCATTTTACTGCCAATTTAAATGGCCAATCTAGAAATTCTGAATTATAAAATTAGAATTGGGGGGGAGCTGGTAATATATCTGGAGAATCAACCCCAACCCTTACTCATTTCCTGGAAAGGACTGCAGCCTTTCCTGTAAGATGGCAGATCACACATTCTGTTATTAGTCAGTTACCACAGGTTTTCTGCAGTTTGCACCACTTTATACTTTCTCATTTGTGTTGGGTTAAATATAAACTCAGGTTAAGTCAGGAGTTTTATGGACTCAGATGTTAGAATGTTTTATTATACTTGTATTTTTATTAATAAAGCCTTTTGGGGGGGGTACCAGGGATCAAACTTGGGTCCTTGTGGTTTCGAGGCAGGCAGCGGAACCACTGAGCTAAATCCCCAGCCCAATAAAACCTTTTAAAGTATGAAAACAAATAGGAATTAAATGTTTCTCCTAATGGCAAATCAAGGTAAAGCTTGTTTTAAATGAGAGAGGGGTGACAGACCATGGGGTGTTCAGAGCATGTTTGTCTCACATTGATCACTCCAAGTGAGTCCAGCCATGCCATAGCATGGTTTTCTGGAAAAGATACCTGGAAGCCAGGTGTGGTGGTGCACACCTGTAATATCAGGTCTCTGGGAGGCTGAGGCAGGAGGATTGTAAGTTTAAGCCTAAGCTGGCAACTTAGTGACTCCAAGCCCCTCTCTCAAAATATAAAACAGGGCTGGGGATGTTGCTCAGTGCAGAGGCCCTGGAGTCAGTCCCCATTGCTTGAGAGGATGTAGAGGCCCAGGAAGTGGGGAGGTGCCTGCCCACTGCACAGCGGAGCTGCCTCTGCTCTGTGGAGCCCTGTCCCACCTTCGGCGGAGCCACATTGCCTATGAGGCTTTCGCCAGCAATGCCACCAGCTTCCTTCTCCTTGCTGTCCTGGTGCTGGCATCTTCTGGGTTCCTTTTCACCAGATCTCCTGTCCTGGAGCAGCTTGTGGGAGAGAAGATGCGGTTCCTAGCACTTTGCCTTTTGGTCCCTGTTGGCCTGTTGGGTGTGGTATGGGTCCCTCCATAATCACGACTGCAGTCAGCCTTCTCCACACGCTCTCTCTCTCTCTCTCTTTTTTTTTTTTTGGTACTGGGGATCGAACTCAGGACCTTGAGCTTGCAAGGCAGACGCCGGAACCACTGAGCTAAATCCCCGGCCCTTACACATGCTCTCTTTTGACCTCTTTGGCTCATGCAATGGCTCTGGATTTTCTAGCTTCCATGTTTGGAACATCTGCTTGCCAGAAACACACCCACCCACCCCCCTCTTCCTGGTGGCTAGAGCACTAGATCATATCAATCCAAAGAGGCTGTGGACTGGGACCAAAGACCAAAGAGAGGTGAGGATGAGGCCTCAAGACTCTTGGCACTAGTGGTCAGCGCTGTTGCAATGACACTGAGATGCCATCTCCCATTTCCCACCCCCTCAGACTGACTTCCCCACCGTTCCCATGGGCTCTGTGGCTCGTGATAATACCGCACACTGCCTGCAGGGGGAATAGTGAGAGCCCAGCTGTTTTCTGTTAAACTAGCCCAGGAGCGGTTTGCAAAAACAAAGCCTTGGAGTGTGATGTGTGCCTGTAGTCTCAGCTACTCTGGAGGCCGAGGCTGGAGGATCGCTTGAGCCCAGGAGTTTGAGGTCAGCCTGGGCAACATAGTGAGATCTTGTCTCAAAACAAAACAAAAACAGTGAGACATTTCCACTTTTCTTGGTAAATAATTGTTTTAAAAAATAGTTTTCATTAAAATATTTGTTGAAATACAATAGGTTTTAGGCCGGGGATTTAGCTCAGTGGTTCCGGTGCCTGCTTCTCAGGGTCCTCAGTTCAATCCCCAATACCAAAAATACAATACAATAGGTTTTAAAAAATTAATAAATATCACATTATCTGTTTTAATTTCCTGTAGTGGAGTGAAGCTGACTGATGGAGCCACACACACAAATGCCACCCAGCCCTCAGCAAGAACTTCTGCTGTCAGGAGGCAGAGACCTGAGGTCTGAGAGCATTCTTGCTGAGGGCCCCTCCAGCTGGCTGCTGTGTGCGGAAGCCGGGATGATGGTGGGATGACAAGAAATGGCTTCATCTGGAATTGTTTGTGGGGTTTTTGTTGTTGTTGTTTTTCCTTTTTTGTGATTCTAGGGATTGAACCCAGGGCCTTCTCACTGAGCTACATCCCGGCTCTCTTTTAGTTTTTGAGACAGGATTTCACTAAATCACTAAGTTGCCCAGGCTGGGCTCAAACTTGCCATCCTCCTGCCTCAGCCTCCCAGAGTGCTGGGGTGACAGGTGAACAGAAAAGGAAAACCAGCAGCTCTGAGCTGGGGGCCATGGTCAGCACCAGAGGAAGTGTGGCCCAGAGCTGGGAGCTGCGGCTATGGCTAGACACAGCATGCAGGAACTACACTTGCGCGGACCAAAAATCATTGCTGACCTTGTGCCCAGGAGAGGAAAAGACCCGGGTGAGGGGTGGTGGGTGGCTCTGAGGAGGGCAAGCCGAGAGGTCAGCCGCTGTGTTTGGGGTTGCGAGGCTCAAGATAGAGCCTGAAGCCCGCCCCAGCCAGCCAGCTCCACAGTGGGGTGTTCCTCATCGTTTCTGTTCTAGTCTGTCTGTCTGTGTCTCTCTCTCTCTCTCTCTCTCTCGTTTTTAATAAATTTTGCATTTAGTTCCATTTTAATGCCTTATGTTTGTAATTTATAATTTATAAATATTGCCTTTACTGCATCTGTTTGCATTTTTATTTGTAATGCTAATTTAAAAGGTGGAACCATTGAGCTAAATCCCCAGCCCTGTAATGCTCATTTTAAATAATGAGGTAGCAAGTAATGGTAATGAAGAAGTAAAGACATTTTTTCTTTGTAATAGGCTAAAAACAGGCAGTTTGAGTTATCTGTAGCCATCAGGTGTTTTTCTTTTTATTTTTCACTTAATTTTGGGAGCAGTTTTTTCCTTTTTTTCTTTTGCAGTTTCTTCTGATTGCTTCATGGATTCAGATAATTTCTTTTCTTTTCTTTTTTTTTTTTTTGTACTGGGGATCGAACTCAGGACCTTGCCGCTTGTGAGGCAGGCACGGTGCCGCTGAGCTAAATCCCCAGACAATTTCTATAGTATTACTCTAGAATTTAGAGTTTCATGCAGTTTGGGTCTTGATACCAAATACTGCCACAAAAATGTAATTGTTGCCATTGCCGAATTCGAGTTGCCACAGTGGGTGTGGGCTGGGCCCAGCTCCTGAGGCCTCGGCTTCCACCCCCCCACACTTCAGAAACCCAACACCGAATAGGCGTGAGTCCTCAAAGGCAGTGGAGGTTAAAACAGAAACTAACCTGGCCTCGTTTTTCTTCTTCTTCTTTAAAATGTAGTTAACAAGCATAAGCCCTGGCTGGAGCCCACCTACCACGGGATTGTGACTGAGAACGACAACACGGTGCTGCTCGACCCCCCCCTGATGGCGCTGGATAAGGACGCGCCTCTGCGCTTTGCAGGTAAGGCTGGCCGGGCTCTGCCTGAGCACACCCGGGTGGCGGTGGGGCCTGGAGGGCAGTGTGGTGATTGCTGAGGGCTGCTTGTGCTCCTGGGCGCCACATGTCGGGTGGTGGACACCAACCTGTTTTGGTTGTTGAAAAGCAGATATTTAATTTAATTGCCCCACATAGCTCAATTGAATTGACTGTGGTTGTCTCACGGTTGCTAGGTAGGTAACGTCTGGATCAGCAGGTCTCAGACCTCAGCCGCACGTGACAGATACCAAGTATGTTCAGATGCACACTCACGTGTGCTTGGCCCCTTCCTCCTCTGCTCCGGGAAGCCCGGGGGCCGAGGATCTAGGACTCTGGCACCTCAGTTCTGTGAACTGCAGTGACATCCCTGAAAAAGTTGAGCAGTCTATGGAGAAATACTTCTGCATAGATTACTTTTTTTTTTTTACCCCTGTATTGGGTTTTAAACCCAGGATCTTTGTACTAAGCTGCATCCCCAGCTCTTTTTAAATTTTTTATTTTGGGACAGGGTCTTGCTAAGTTGCCCAGGGTGGGCTTGAACTTGTGATCTCCCTGCCTCAGCTTTCTGAGTCACTGGGATTACAGACATGTAGCACAGCACCCAGCCAGGCACAGATTACATTTTTATGAAGTTACTCTAGTTAAGAATATATTAAAAGTGAGCTGGTTGTGGTGGCGTGTGCCTATAATCCCAGCCACTTGGGAGGCTGAGGCAGGAACATTGCAAGTTTGAGGCCAGCCTGGACAACTTACTGAACTCTTATCTCAAGTATAAAAAGCTGGGGGTTTAGCTCAGCGATAGAGTGCTTACTTAGAATGCACAAGGCCCTGGGCTGGATCCCCATTAGAAAGGAGGAAAGAACAAAAGGGTTATAACCTGTGTCTATGAAACAGATGGCTGGGGCAGCTCTGGAGACGATCATCACGGGACAGCTCTGTGCTGGTGGCGTTGTAGAGTCCTTTCTCCGTCAGAGCCTCTCTTGGGTCACATCAGCCGGGAGAAGGACATGATGCTCCCGCACCCATTCTTGGCCTCAGGGTCAAAATAGACATTACAGAACTAGTGTATTCATCAAGTGCATTGGTACATTTAGGTATGCAGCATGCTGACACTCATCATTGGGAGTTTGTTCCTGTTCGTGATGTATCTGGGTTCTTATTTTTTCCCCCTTCCCCTGCCCTCCCTTCAACCCCTCCACCCCTCCTTATTTACAAAGACTTTGTTTCTGTTTTTTCCTTTTCTCATATTTTTTTCTTTCCTGCACCCCTCCCCCCACTTCCTCTTCCCCTTTGGACCTTTTCTTCCTATTTCACATTATCTATTACACATTTTGGTCCTCATTTACACTTACAGTTTGTCACACCAGAAAAACTGTTCAGTATTTACTCATGTATGTCCTGTTTATTTCACTCAAGAGTAAGGCCTCAATGTGCATCCATTTAGCTATAAATGTCTCTAGTTTATCATTCTTTATGGCTGAGTAATACTCTATTTTATAAAAAGCCCACACCTTCTTTACCCCATCATCAGCAGAACTAGTTTTTGAAAAGTGGTTTTCACATGACTTTTTTCCAGATCAAAACCTCTGTTATTAATGTTCTGTTTGCCTGGGGACAGATTAAAAACAATTGGATGAGCTTGTATGAAATGTGTTATCTAGTGGAGTGTGGTAGTACACATCTGTAATCCCAGCATTCTGGGAGGCTGAGGCAGGAGGATCCCCAATTCAAGCCCAGCCTGGGCAATTTGGCAAGACCGTATGTATTAGTCATTTCCCCACTGTTGTAACAAAATACCCGATGCCCGCAACTTAAAGGAGATTTATTTTGGTTCGTGGATTCAGCCCATGGTTGGCTGACTTTAAGGCAGAAACAGCTCGGTGGAGGAAAGCTGCTCAACCCATGGCAGCTGGGAAGCAGAGGGAGAGGGAGGCTCTGGGATGAAAGTGCAGCCTGGTGACATCTGCGCCCAGCCTCACCTCCTACAGCATTCAGCTGCAAGCTGCCTGGTGGGTTAGTCAGCAATGAGTGTGTGCCCCATGATCTAGTTGCCTTCTGAAAGCCCTGCCTCTGAACACTGGGAGATATTTGGGGGGCACTTTAGATCTAACCATCATACCCTGTCTCAAAATAAAAATCAAAAGGGTCGGAGATGTAGCTCAGTGTGAAGGCCCTGGATTCCACCCTCAGAACTGAAAAACAACAAAACAAAAATAAAACAAAAACCAAACCAAACCTATATCATTCATTAAATTTCCTGTTGTAAATTGAGGGCAGTGACTGTGGGTTGCTGCTGAAGAAATATTTAAACATAAATCCATACTTCATTCTGTCTAAGTGCAGGTCCCACTTCAGAAAAATAACCTACTGGCCAGCTTGTGCCGAGTCAGAGGTGGGGACAGGGCTTCCAGCGGGCTGTGCTGTTCACTGGGTGTCAGAGAGGGATGGGACCAGGATAGTAGAGGAAGCGCCCTGTGCCCCGAACACAGTGTTTGTCTAGTTGCCTAGGTGATTTCCTTGTTGTTGTTTCCTGTACAGATTAAAATCATTTGTAGCTTTCCATGTTGGTCTGATTACCTAGATTGTTTTTTTAATACTGGGGATTGAACTGAGGGTCTTCACACTGGGCCACATCTCCAGCCCTTTAAAAAAAATTTTCAAACAGGATCCTCCTAAGTTACTGGGGCCGGTCTGTTCCTGCTGTCCCAGATCAGCTGTGGCTCCGCAGGGTTGGCTGAGCAGCATGGTACCAGTGGAGTCCAGAAGAGAGTTTGGAGTGCTGTTTTCTTTGGAGTCTGCTGAGAACCTCCTCAGAAAGTCTGGAGCTCTTTTCCCCATCCTTGGTGCTTCCGTGACTCACAGGTGGCCTGCAGGACTCGCTGCCACACCACTGTCTGCCGTGGCTTGTTTCGCAGGTGCTGCCAGGCTGACAGTGTGTTTGCAGCAGGGAGTTGGATGGACCAGGTTGACTCAGGAGAGATTGCCATTTTTTTTGTTGTTTTTTGGGATTTTGAGACAGGGTCTCACTGTGTAGTCCAGGCTGGCTTCAAGCTCAGGGTGATCCTCCTGCCTCAGCCTCCCAAGTGCTGGGATTACAGGCATGCACCACCACACCTGGTGAGATTGCTATTTTTCTATGTTGAAAATACAAGAATTTGTTACTGTTGGTATTAAATGGTTTAAGACATTGCATTTTCCACTTGTAATGTATGTTTATACAGTGTAATGTTACTTTTTTTTTTTAATAACGTTACTTCTTGTCCCTGGGCATGTTGCATATTCAAGTATTGAGATCCCTGGTACTTTCTATAGCCCTTCACCTTTAAAACTGTCACAGAATTTGCTACAAACTTGGGTCCTTCAGTGTCTCGCTGTGTGGAACAGTGCTCCATCCATGCGTGGGTGGAAAATACAGGAATAGCCTGAACAAACTGCAGTGCCGTCTGGCTTAACCTGAGCCATGGCGAGACCCCGTGAGTGGTGGTGTTCAGCCCCACGATGGTGGCTCCTGACTGGGAGGCGGCCGCTCGTTTCTGGTGCTGTTGCTTCCCGGACAGGTTTGGGATCCACAGCCATCAAATGCTGGGTAACTGTGCTGGACTTGGTGGTGCATATAGAAAGTGTAGAAATTGGTCCCCATCCCCAGGCGCTGGGGATCCATGTGGGAAGGCGAAACCAGCACTGCAGAGCATGAACCCGGGACGGTAGGAGGTTTACAGTTTACAGCCGAGAGGCAGAGGCTCCGAGGTTGGGCTGCAGGCCGGCGAGTGATTTGGAAGGCAGGCTGGAACCTGTCGGGAGGAGCCGGGTGCCTAGGCTCCAGTCCCCAGCACTGTGGTGGGAGGGAGGTGCGTGTTCCTGGGCCTCTCCCAGAACTGGCGAGTCAGGAGTGCTGGGCATGAAAACCGCCTTATTTTTGGAGTGCCGGGGAAGGAACCCCCATGGTAGGCGAGCACTCACCAGTGAGCTGCATCCCAGCCTGCAAGCAGGGTTAGATCGATTGCAAAGCAGGACAGTGGAGTGGGGTCTGCACTGGGGTGGGAGGGACAGGCAGAAAGGACATCAAATGTTAGCTGTGACCCTGAGTCCCTCCCCCGAAAGGTGGGGCTGCAGGAAGAAGGCTGAGTCAGAATAGCTGGGGCGGAGGTGTCCCTGTGTGTGCAGGGACGGGGTGTGAGCCCTGTGGTGTGTGTGACTATGGGAACTGCACGTGCCATGGGGGCGGTGGGGGTCCGTGACCCTCTAGCACTGACAGATGAGCTCCTGGAAGAGTTGCTGCGCCCTGCTCTGCCCTGGGAGGAGGGTCATGAATGAGGGTCAGGCAGGGAGCTGTTCACCGTGGAAATGCCTGGGAATCACTGAATGCTCTTGGCCATGCGGTGGTATTATAGTTCTGTGAACGGTGTCTCTGTTCGTGCTGCCTATGGAAGTATTGGATGGAATGCATGTCTGCGGCTTGCTTTAAGATACTTCAGGCAGCCAGGGATTTAGCTCAGTGGTTCCACCACCTGCCCCGAAAGCGCAAGGACCAGAGTTCAATCCCCAGTACCAAAAAAAAAAAAAGATATTTCAGGCAGCAAGGTGTGGTAGTGCACACCTGTATTCCCAGCATTCTGGGAGACAGGAGGATTTTAAGTCCAAGCCCAACCTGGCAACTTAGTGAGATCCTGTCTCAAGATAAAAAAGGGCTGGGTGTGGAGCTCAGTGCAGAGGCCCTGGTTTGTCCCTGGTACTACCACCAACAAAAAAAAACCCAAACCACACAACCTGCAAGCCAGAGGTGAAGCTGGTAGGGTGGGTGACAGCTGCTGAGCTCCATGCTTCACCTTTTCCTGTCTGTGCCTCAGTTCCACCCGTCAGCCAAACCTAGAGGCTTGGGAGACCTTCCCTCCCCTCCAGCTGTTCTGAAGTGCTGTCCTTCTCTAGCAAGTCCCTGAGTGCTTCCCAGACAGTGGCTCCGAGCAGCCCACTTCCCTCCTCATCTGCAGTACTTGCCTGGCCTTGCCCCTTGCAGCCAGAGCTGGGCTTTGAGGGGACAGACCGGGTTCTGAGGCCCAGCATTGACTGCGGTCCAGGCTGCTCCATGCATTGAGCTGCCCCCGGCTGGCCAGTAGTGCAGTAAGCCTAGCGGATCTGAGGTCACAGGTCCTGGGGACCTGGGGGAGGAGCCTCCTCATGTGTGCACTCAGTGGTGACACTGGAAGGGACACCGTTAAGCTTTTCACTGTTCTTCTTATAAATGGATCGAATCCAGTCTCTGGAGAGCAGCTGGCTTCCAAGTCATTTGTGTGCTTGTCTGCTAAGCGCACCTTTGAGACACCATCCTGGGTCCCCACACTCAGGCATTGCAGTGCAGACACCAGCACAGAGCTAGAGCACGAATCCTGCCTCTCCCTCTGTGCCACCATCCCTCTTGTCCCAGCTTAGTGAAAGGGGGCTCAGGTTGGGTTCCCACCTGCCCCACCCTCCCAGCAGCCTTGGCCTTGCTGGCAGGGTTCCTCCCAGCTCTGCCCACTTCTCAGTGCCCGCTACACCTGGGGCTGGCCTCGGCTCTCCTGCTGCATCGCTCAGGTAACTTCTTTACCCGGAAGGAACGGATCCCCTCAGGATATGAGACACAGTCGTCCATCTCTGCTGAGCCCTCCAGCTACTTCCTTCTCCTGGGGAGGAGAAGCTGCAGCTCTGGCAGCCCAGGGCTAGGCACCATGTGGCTTCAGAGTTCCCAGGTCTGTGGACCCTGTGTCCTGAGCTGGGCCCCTCAGCGGCCCAGGCTTCCTCATGGAGCCTCGGCCTTTGCACTGGCTGCTCCTGTGACTGAAATTCTTCCCGGATAGTCACGTGACTGCTCCCTTCCTTTCCTCTCTCTTTGCCCAGACATTAGTTCACCATGAACACTGCAGTCTGAGATGAAAACACCCAATACCCCCCTTCGCTCCAGATCCCTCCTGCCCTCCTCCCAGCCTGATTTCTGAAAAGAAAGATGTGGAGAGTTTACAACAGCTGGTGAATGGTCCCATTCCTCTTGATATCTCTCAGCGAGTCGGTGTCTAGGGCTTTACTTACGGCCTAACGTGGTGGGGAGGCCCAGGAGTTTGGGACCAGCCTGAGCAACATAGCAAGACCCTGTCTTCTCAAAAACAAAAAGCCAAAAAACTCATCCAGGACATTGCTTGGGTGGAGTGTCTTTACCCCAGTTCAGTAGCGGCTGGGTCCGTGGCTTTACTCATGCCAGGGTCTTTGACCATGCTTTCCAGAACCCAGCGCCCTGGTCAGTGCAGCAGCGTAGAGGATGTGGGGCTGCCGAATATGGAACTCTGGGGTATCAGCTGATGCTGACGTACACCCGGAAGGGCAGTGAGTCTGCACATCCAGGCCAACCAGCGGGTCCTCTGTGGTACCCAGTGCTTCTACTCTAGGATTTTCTAGGGTGAGGAGCAGTATGCTTTTCCCTAAAGGGCCTGAAGGGAGGGTGGGTAGGCTCTGCAGTCCAGAGGGTCTTTTGCAGCTATGCAGGTCTGGCACAGTATTCAGAACACAGGTGGAGACCATTCCGCTCTGACAGCACATCTGTGCCCCAATAAAACTGTTGGTGGGAGAGTGATATTTGAATTTTCAGTATAAATTTTTCCTGTAATATAATATGTTGTAGTGGGAATTGAACGCAGGGCCTTGACACTGAGCTACATCCCCAGCTCTTTTTATTTTTTATTTTGTGACAAGGTCTCGATAAGTCATTAAGCTGCCCAGGCTGAATTCAAACTTGTGATCCTCCTTCCTCAGGCTCTCAGAGTGTTGGGATCACAGGTGTGCACCATTGTGCCCACCTGAAATACTACTTGAAAAGATAAAAACCATTCTCAGCATCTGGGCCACTCCAAACCAGGGACAGGCTGAGTTTGGCCCAGAACCCACTGTCTGTAGAGCCTGCCCTGCGCAGCCTGTGAACAGAAGCAGCTATTGTAGTGGGTGGTGAGGTGCTGTGTATCTGTGTTTAAACCACTGTCCCTAGCCAGGCTGGAGACGTACAGCTGTCGAGCACTCAGAATGGGGCCAGTGTGACTGAGGAACTGAATGTTTAATATTATTACATTTTTAGCCTGAGTTTTAGTTTAAATGTGAACAGCTGTGTGTAGCTGGTGTCTGCCATCTTGGGCAACATAGATGTAGGATGTCTTATTCATGTCTAGCAGGAAACAGGGACAGAAATATCTGACATGGTGTTGTTCATCAATGGCAGAAATTTTGGCATTATAGCATATTCACACAGTGAATGAAAGTGATGATAGTAAGCCAGGTGTGGTGGCACATACCTATAATCCCAGCACTTGGGAAGCTGAGGTAGGAGGACTTCTTTGAGTTTGAGGCCAGCCTGGGCTACATAGTGAGTTCAAGGCCAGCCTGAACTACATAGTGAGACCCTGTTTCAAAAAAACCAAAATAAATAAATGAATAAATGAGTAAATGAAAGGTGATGGTAATAGCAAACATTTGTCAAATGCTTCCACTATGCCAGGCAATGTTTTAAGCATGCTGCATGTTTTAACTCATGGGATTCTTTCTTTTTTACCTCCTGGTATCAGGGATCCAACTTAGGACCTTGCACTTGCCAGGCAGGCATGGCGCCACTGTGCTACATCCCTGGCCCCCAAACTCCTGTGATTCCTAACAGTAGGTAGTAGTGGAAGGAATAAACCATAGCTGCATATAGCAGCCAAAGTGAATGAATCTTTTTTTTTTTTTTTGGTACTGGGGATTGAACTCTAGTCCTTGCGCTTGCGAGGTAGGCTGGGGAACCACTGAGCTAAATCCCCGGCCCTGAATGAATCTTAAGATACTCAAGGTTGTGTAAAAAAGCAAGTCACAAAAACTGCATGTCACAAAAATTGCGTGTCACCTGATACCATTTTTAAAACCTTTAAATCATATAAAATGAAACAACGCTATTCAGGGGAAATAAATGGCAAAATCTTTCAAAAAACAAGAGAATTCAAGGAGTGCTGCCTTGGAGGAGAGGAGATGGAAGATGGCGTGAGTGCACCTGTGAAGGGCCGCACGTGCCCGTTCTGCTCTCTGCTGTCACCGCCGTGGCCCCAGGGCCAGTGCTGACGGTAGGAGGTGTTCTTGGTAGGAGGTGTTCTCGCAGTGAAGCGATGGTCAATGTAGTGTCTGCAGCTGGCTTTGAGCTCCTTCCATTCACGTTAAGCAGATGTTTACTAGCAGAAGGTTCATACTTGTTCCTTTGGTTGGGTGTTTTTGACTAGAAACCATCGGTATTGATAAAAACAAAGGGTTAAAACCTTTTGTGCCAAATGTTTGCTTCTCTGAATCTAACAGTGGGTTCAGTGTTGCCAGAATCTAGCTGAGAGGACTCAGCTTGAAAATGAAAACACACAGGTTAACTTATTCACTGCGTTCATCCAAGTGTTGGAAAAGAAAAACCCTCATGACACCTGAGGCTGTTAGGAAACCTCACAGCACCATCTCATCCTTAAATTAGTGTCATTTTAAAATTATGCAGTAGCTCATGGTAAGTGGGATTCAAAGTGACATTTTGCTCCTGAGAATCCAGTTTGGCTGTAGGAATTTTAGTAGGTGGCTACTGAGTGTATTGTTAAATTATATGTCAAGCTTTTCTGTGTAATATGTGCATCTTTGACTTTATTTCCTTGTTGTTCCATCTCCACTCTTTCCTGAATTACTGACATGGGTTTATCTTTTCTCCTTTTAGAGAGTTATGAGGTGACAGTCACCAAAGAAGGTGATCGGGGTTCTTTGTCTCCCTCTTACGAATATTAACCCACTAACTTTGTTGATAAAATCGGGAATCAGCCCTTAAACAGAAGCAACTGTCATGCTCCTTTGCCCTACTTATTCTCCCACTTCGTTTCTATTTTAAAATGTATCGGTGGAGGGTGTGTGTAATCAGACCCTTGGTTAGAAATATCTGGAAATCAGACATCCATTTGAACTACATGGACAATACCATTCATTTTTGTTTAATTGAACTTCAGAGATTTGTTTCGTAACAATTTTCTGTTTGTTGGAGTTGTGGAAGAGTTCAGTCTGATTTTTATGTGAAATAATGTTTGTGAAGTTTCATATATGCATCAAATCATTTATGATTGTTCCTCCACGGGCAAGAATGGAAACATGGATTTCAAACTCTTAGAATTTGAAGCCAATTCAGCTGTAGTGAAGTTCTCAAGCCGGTGTCTTTCAGGGTTGATAGGGTAAAGTCCCCCCAAAAGGGTAGGAAGTCCCTTCCCGTGACAGAACCGGGTGACAGCTGTTGAAATGGATGCCTGAAAGTTGGTATTTCTACCTCTCGTTTAGCAGTTTGTTTTGATTCCCTAATTTTAGCCAGGCTCATTGCACAGGAAGACTTGATTCTTTGGATTTTTTTCTTGACAGAATTTCTGTAATTACGGTGCTGGTCCTATATCTCACGCTTCTTCCTCTCTCCACACTTAACTGTGCGTTTTATCCTCTCTCTGGTCCAAACCCAAAGAGCTGCCTGGCCCTTGGCCCTCGGCCCTCGGCCCTCGGGTGGGGGGCAGCCCTGGTGTGCTGCGGCCTCGGCTGTCGGCTACTGAGACTCCTTTTGCCCTCGAGCCCTCTAAGTGCTCCTGTGGAATGCCTGTCTATGTTCTCTTTCTCTCTTTTGTATTCCTGCATGAGTGGATGCAAAGTACACGTTGCTTGGGAAGCCAGAATCCGCTTCTTTTGACTAAAGCCCCAGAACTCACCCATGTTAAAGCACAGTGCCCCCTGCTTTGTCCACAGACCCTCCAACCCCTGGCTGCCGAATTGTCGTTGTTTATTTTCTTTGGGGGAGGAGAGCAATGTGTAGAAGGTTCACACAGCAGAAATCCTGACCTCTTCCGCTTTGATTCCCCAGGTGAGATTTGTGGCTTTAAAATTCACGGGCAGAATGTCCCCTTTGATGCAGTGGTAGTGGATAAATCCACTGGCGAGGGGATAATTCGCTCCAAAGAGAAACTGGACTGTGAGCTGCAGAAAGACTACACATTCACCATCCAGGCCTACGACTGCGGGAAGGGCCCCGACGGCACCAGCATGAAGAAGTCTCATAAGTAAGCAGGCTGGGTGAGGAGGGACAGGAACCCACTGAGGAGGTGTGTGTGTGCTCGAGTAAAGGGAGGGATGGGGAGCGGGCCCTGTGCCCCCAGTCTGTTTTGAAGTTTGAGGCGGAAGAGTTCTGTTATGTTCCCCTCATGGGCGACAGGCTTTGGGAAATAAATGAATGAATAATTTTACCCCACCGTACTCCATTCAAGAAGCTGAGACCCTGTCTAAGTTGAACATTTTCCGAAGCCCACCTTTCTCTGAGGAAGGGTATTTGGTCGTTGTGCGTGTTTTCCTGTAAACCCCAAGGGCAGGAGGTTGATTGCCTGCTGGGGAACCAGTAGGCCCACTTCCACCGTCCTGTGCTTGAGACGCAGGACTGCACAGGACGAAGCTGGAGAACTCTGGTCTAGCTCTGCCACTTGCCAGCCCTTTGACATGAAGCGGTTTAGTGTTTCAGAGGCTCTGTTTGTTCTTAGCGAGTCTGCGTAGGACAGAGGGCCTTGGGCCCCATGGTGAGGGGTGCTGATGATGCCTTCAGGATGGGAGGATCTCGGTGCACAGTGGGTGCACTTGCTAGCGAGTCACCCTCATCCTTTACGCAGCGTGACGTTGCTGTTTCCCTTACAAAAGGTTGCATTTTGACCAAACACCTTGTCCGACTCAGAAACATAGACGGCTGAGCACCCCTTGAAACCTGCAGTTCTCTTCACCGGGAGCCTGGTTTCCTTAGTAGCCAGTTGGGAGGTGGAGGTGGCAGGGGGGCCACCCCTCCCCAGTTCCTTCACTGTCACCTTGGTCCCGATGACCTCCTGGGGCCACCCTTGCTCTCAGGCTCCACCCGACTCCTTCTAGGGCAGAATTTGTTTAAACTCTCATCCTCAAACCTTGCTGGCCTTGCTCATTTCCTTATCCTTTTTTCCTCTGCCCCTACTTCTTTTCCTCCTGGATTTTATAATAAAATGTCTTTTAACTTTGTAATTAAAACACACAGGTACCTGATATAAATAAATAGATGTCTACTATATGTCTCCCTTCATGTCCTGGCCCATACTGTCAGAGAAAAATCTAGGGTCTGTCTGTCCCTTTCTCTCTCTCTAGCTGTACTAGGGATTAAATCCATAGCCTCATATATGCTAGGCAAAAAACAAAACAAAACTATCACTGAGCTACATCCCCAGCCCCAGGTCTCTTTTCCTGTATATTATTGATTTTTAAACTCAGCTGCCTTACTTTTAGGACATGGAAGAATGAACCCTGATCCCTATTTAAATTTTTTATTTTGCCCATGCTGAACTGAAAACAATGAAGTTTGGTTTATTTTTTTGTCTTCATCATAAGAATTTCATGAAATAAGGTAGCAGAAAAATATAAATTTAAAAATAGGGCAGAATTGATATCCTTTGGGTGAAAAACAATGAAACCTCCCAAAATAGCTGTGTCCCCCTCTTTGTCCAGATCAACTGTCCACATCCAGGTGAACGATGTGAATGAGTATGCGCCTGTGTTCAAGGAGAAGTCCTACAAGGCGACGGTCACCGAGGGCAAGCAGTATGACAGCATCCTGAGGGTGGAGGCCGTGGACGCAGACTGCTCCCCTCAGTTCAGTCAGATCTGCAGCTATGACATCGTCACTCCTGATGTGCCCTTCGCTGTGGACAAAGATGGTAAGAGCAGGGAGCCCGTGCCGAGAGCGGCCTCGATCTTTGTTGTCCCTGAGCATTGGTGAAGGCCTGGCATTACAGGTCTGTGTCTTCACACTGCCCTGACAGCTTCCCGGGAGCTGGAGGCCTTGTGTCTGCTGGGGCTCCCCTTTCCCCTTTCCTACCCATAGCAAATAAACCTTTGCTCCGCCTGCTTCCATCCCTTCGCTTCTCCCCTCTCCATCCACAGGCCTCGGAGTGAGCCTTTTCCGTTCCCTGCAATTAGCACTTTCTGCCTGATCTTTGTTTCCAATCCCCCACAGTACAGGGGAAGGCCCCCGCATGCTGGCGGGTGCTCTGCCACTGAGCTGCCTCCAGCCCCCGTGATTGGGGGTCCACACTGTGTCACCTCTGCCAGTCCCACTCTGGCCTTAGTAACTGAACAGAAGCAGCTTTCTGGAACTTGACCTCCTTATGAGGTTAGAGTTTCTTAATGATAATATGTGTCTCCATTGCCAGCTAAGGCTCCATGTAGAATCTTTGATGGGATTATAAATAGGGCAGACATTTCCACTCACATTCAAAAAACAGAGTTCTCCTGGGCATGGTGGTACATGCATGTAATCTCAGCACTTGGGAGGCTGAGGCAGGAGGATTATTGTGAGTTCAAAGCCAGCCTGGGCTACATAGTAAGACCCTGTCTCAAAGGGAAAAAAAAAAAAAAAGGGTCGGGGATTTAGCTCAGTGGTCCCGGTGCCTGCCTCAGAAGCGCAAGGTCCCGAGTTCAGTCCCCGGTACCAAACAAAAGAGACAGACTTCTCTTCTAGGGGAGGAGGAGTAGGAAACCAGCCTGTCTCTCCCCACTTTGGGGTTGAACCCAGTGCTAAGCACACACCCCACCAGAGTTACACCCCCCAGCCCAACTGAAAACAAAGTAAGTGTTTTTAGCAAAAAGTATTTAGTGCAACTTGATCTTATGTTTAATAATTGATTTTTCTTTTTTTTTGTACTGGGGATTGAACTCGGGACCTTGCACTTGCAAGGCAGGCACCGGAACCACTGAGCTAAATCCCCAGCCCTTACGTTTAATAATTGAGATCTGAGTTGTTTTGTCTTTTTATTCTTTTATATATAAACTACTGAAGTTAATGTAGAAGCGAGTGTAAACTGCCCAAGTCCGTGAAGCCTGAGTTATGAGACTCGGGCCCGCAGTAAGCGCTTCTGCAAGGGTGTCCTGTGTGCGGCCTTGGGCGGGCCAGGCGAGTGGGAGAGCTCCAGGCCTGAGTGTGTTTCTGGGGACCTTCACAGGGCGTGCTGCACACACAGTCTGTTTCCACCAGGACAATGGAAGTAAAGATGACTCCCACGTGCCTTTCCCCCTTACAGGTTACATAAAGAACACCGAGAAGCTGAACTATGGGAAGGAGCGTCAGTATAAGCTGACCGTCACGGCCTATGACTGTGGGAAGAAGAGGGCTACGGAAGATGTTCTGGTGAAGATCAGCATCAAGCCTGCCTGCACACCTGGGTGGCAAGGTGAGCTGCCCTGGCCCCTCTCACCTCTTCTGACAGTTTAGAACCACAGGAGCCTAATGTGCAAGTTTTCCTCCTTTCCTCCCATGCTGGCCCATGGGTGACACAGGCTGGAGCAACAGGGTTGAATACGAACCTGGCACCGGCGCTCTGGCTGTCTTCCCCAACATCCACCTGGAGACGTGTGACGAGCCAGTGGCCTCAGTGCAGGCCACGGTGGAGCTGGAGACCAGCCACATCGGGAAGGGCTGCGACCGAGATACCTACTCTGAGAAGTCCCTCCACAGGCTGTGCGGTAAGGGCTGGGCGTCCGAGCTCTCGGCCTTCAGGGCAGGCCCATGCTGTGGACTTGGTGTGTGACGCGGACCCGACAGGCACCGACACTCTGGCTGATTTTCGACCTGGATGGGCCTCGGGAGCGCATCACCCCCTAAAAATCTACTCAGAATGTTACAAGTGTGCCTACTTTAAGAACCAGTGATTTAAAGAAAGCAGCCTACGTTGAGAATCATCCGAATGGGGATGATTTGAGAATAAGGTGCCCCAGCTGCTCAGGAGATGGAGGCAGGAGGATTGCCTGGGCCCAGGGGTTTGAGACCAGCCTGAGCAAATAGTGAGAGTCCATCTAGGGAGAGAGATAAAGTTGAGTGAGTTTTATATGAAACAAATGTTCATTCAAGGACTGAAGAAAAAAAATACAGCCAGTCCAGTAGCTTTTGGTAAACATGAATCAGAGAATCAGCCTTAGGATACCCACATCTAACAGGAGGCTCAGCTGACTTTATACATCACAGACTATACATTGTGGAGAAGCTGAGAGACAGGGACTGAGAATGATAGAGGGTGAGCTTTGCTCTTTCCTATCCGCTGTGCATCTTTCTGGTTTGTGTAATTGAAGAGAAAATGAGGTCCAGATGCCTCCAGTGGGAGGTGCTGGGGCCAGAGTGATTGCTTGGTCAGCTGTAAAATACCAGGAGCCTCAGTGGCCCCTCATGATTGGCAGGGGCCTTTGTGTTTCAAGGGCACTGGGCAACAGCTCTGCAGGGAGCCTGCTCCTAAACTGACCCACCTTTCACCAACCAGATAAAACTCATAGGGTGAGGCACCTGGTTGGTTGGTTTGTTTCCTTCCTTCCTTGCCTTTCTCTCTCTCTCTCTCTCTCCCTCCCTCTCTCCCTCTCTCTCCCCCCTCCCTCCCTTCCTCTCTCCCTTCCTTCCTTACTGTCTCTCTCCCTCTTTCTCTCTTCTTCTTTTTTCTTTCTTTTTTTTTTTTTTTGATACTGGGGATTGAACTCGGGTCCTTGTGCTTGCACAAGGCAAAACCACTGAGCTAAATCCCCGGCCCTCTTTCTTTCTTTTAACAGGGTCTCACTATGTAGGTCAGGCTGGCCTTGAACTCACTGTGTAGCCCAGGCTGGCCTCGAACTCAAAGCAGTCCTCCTGCCTCACCTTCCTCAGTGCTGAGTTTATAGTTGTGTGCCGCCTCACCCAGCTGACACTTGGTTTTCTTAATAATTAAACTTTCTGGCCAAGGGCCCAGGTGTTTTAGCTCATTAGCACTGCTCCTGCCTCGAAAGTGCAAGGTCCTAAGTTTGATCCCCAGTACAAAACAAAAAAACCCCCAACTTGCTGGGTGGCAACTGAGAGGAAGAGAGCCCTCTCTGCTGTGCCAGGCACCCAGTGCTGAGGACCTCAGGCGTGTTATGCCACAACAGTGCACAAATGTGAATTTATGGGTAGGAGTAGTTCTTGTTTTAAAGTGTGCATGTAAGCATAATGTAGAAAACTGACTTCCTCATAAGGCTACTATTTCTCTGGATAGTAAGTGAATATTTTCTCAGCAGAACACCTGAAAGTTAGGAAGAATAGAGAGCATTTAGTGTTTAAGCTCTGACACACACTGTATGCCCGGTACTTCTGAGTGTTAATCTTCCCAGCAGGCCTCTAGAGTAGGTGGTGCTGACCTTGTTCTTACAGAGGAGCTAACTGATGCTGAGGGAGGTGAAGTAGCTTGCCCAGCGACGCGTCTGAGAAGTAGCAGAGCTGGGATTTGGGCCAAGGTCTTGTGTCTCTCGAGAGACCAGGCTGGTGCAGCCAGATGGCACTGCTCCCAGGACCACAGACGCCAAGACCCTGCAACTGAGGAGCATGCGGAATCTTTTCTAGGGGACAAATTCAAAAGAAAATGTGGGGGCTAGGACTACAGCTCAGTGGTAGCATGTCTGCTTAGCATGTCTGAGGCTCTGGATTGCTCCCCAGCAGTAAAAAGAGAAAAAAATATTTGGTTTTGGCAACATGTAATGACACTTGTCGAAACTTTTCTTATTCTTTCACTTAGTAAATCCAGTTCTCGGAATGTATGCTAGAAGCATAAGCTTGGGGTCAGGGCCTGTAGAGGAGAGTTGATAAGGGGAGGGAGGAGGAACAGCCCCGTGGAGATGGTGCTTGCGGTGCATCAGGGCATAGCTGTGCACTGAGGGGTGGGGCGGACGTTAGCAGTCCTGTTACGGAAGACTCCTAGAGGGAGAGTGTGTGTGTGTCCATGAGCGTACATGTGCACAGCAGGACTGTGGAGATAACAAACACCTTGCATGTGTATATAGTTAGCAAAAGGGTTGATCCCCAGATGGTGGATATTTGGGTGGGATTACAAGAAATACTTGATATTTTTCATCCTCCTTGTGTGGTTATTACTTACCATATTTTTGTTTTAAAAAACTTCTTATTTTTAAGGAAAAGTAAGCTCAAATTAGCACATTGTCTAACCATATGATCAGCACATGACTTTAGCACAGTGCTTTGAGCCACTCCTAAGCTCTGTGTTCTCGGCAGAATTGACCTTCAGCATTGTCACTCTGCTTTCAGGGGCTGCTGCGGGCACCGCCGAGCTGCTTCCCTCCCCTGGCAGCTCCTTCAACTGGACCGTTGGCCTCCCCACCGACAACGGCCATGACAGTGACCAGGTCTTTGAGTTCAACGGCACTCAGGCAGTGAGGATCCCAGATGGTGTTGTGTCCATCAGCCCTAAGGAGCCCTTTACGATTTCCGTGTGGATGAGGCACGGGCCTTTCGGCAGGAGGAAGGAGACGATTCTTTGCAGTTCGGACAAGACAGGTGGGTTGTTTCTGTAGGCGGTGGTCTTCAGGACCCAGCGGGTATTCAGGAGAGGCATGTGCCTTCACCTACCCGAAGCCCCTCAGGAAGCTGCTTGGTCCAGACACTGTCTAGATTTGGGGCTGGACATGGTTTGCTCTTGAGACAGACAGCATCCGGGATTGTCAGCAGCTGTCAGGGGCCTGGCACGCAGTAGAAGCCAAGCGTATTTGTTCCTAGATGCTGCATGGCCCAACTGGAGGGTTCATTTTTGCAGATGAAATTGTATCTTTGAAATCCATTAAGGAGAGAGCTCTCACTTCTCCCTTGGGTTCTGAGTTGGCCATTTACCGGTAGGAACTCTTTGCAGATATGAACCGACATCACTACTCGCTCTATATCCATGGGTGCAGGCTGATTTTCCTCCTGCGTCAGGATCCTTCCGAGGAGAAGAAATACAAACCTGCAGAATTCCACTGGAAGTTGAATCAGGTGAGCAAATGCAAAACTCACCAGGTGTGATTGTGTAAGGGAGATGGACTGGTTACTGCAGCCTTGTCCACACCTGGCCGGGTGTACGCTCGGTGTGTATGTATGATTTGTGGTTTCTGTGTCTGGGTAACAGGATAGCAAATTAAATCCACTCATCTCCTTTCCTCTGAAAGGATGAGGGGTTTTTATATATGTTATTTTATATATAAAATATTGATATAAAAATTATGTATTTTAAATATTTTAAAAACTTTTAATTGAAATAAGGAGCATTTGCCTAAAAATTGGGATTGAGATCTTTGTGTTTATTTATTCATTCATTATTTAAGGCTGTGTCTGTGAACAGTGCCGAGGAGCCCCGGGTGACTCAGCAGTGCACGGGTACCACTGGACATTCTACATTTTCAGGGAACCAGCGATCTTGGCATCTTTCAGATGCCTCACAGACCACTAGCTTGAGGGAGTTGCAGTTTTGATGTTGGATCAAGTAACATTTCTTTCAATGATGTCATGTCTTTCCAAAGCTAATTCTCTAGCACTTGCTGTGATAAAAAGCGACTATCACATGAAAAAATACATGTTATCTCCTTTTAAAAAAATACGTGTGTTATAGGAAATGAAGGGTGCTGTAAACTGAGAAAGGCTACTGGTTAGACTCAGAACAGATCATTTCTTTCTTTCTTTTTTTTTTTTTTTTTTGAGACAAGAGTCTCACGTAGTCAGCCAGCCAGGCTGAGCTCAAACTTGTGATCCTCCTGCCACACCTTCCTGAGTGCTGGGACTGCAGGCGTGTGCTATCACACTTGGCCTCATTTCATTTCTCCATTTAGGGTTTCAGGCAATAAGGCAAATTTTGGCCGTAGGTGGTTTTGTTTGGCTTTTGGAGTTAGTGAGCAAAAGTTAACATTGTTATATGTGTCTGTGTTTGGTAAACTGTAACATTGTCTAAAGTAGTTACAAGGTATATAAAAATGTAAGAGTGCAAAGGAGAAAGGAAAAGAGTATATGACATGGAAAGATGAGACGACTGTCCAGTTGGTTTTTTTACATTTCTTACTGGTGATTTTCATGTAAATAATTCTTTTTCAGAGGCTCTTACCATAATTTTTCATAAGAAACTAGAAATTTATAGTCTGAACTGGGGCATGGTGTCACACACCTGTAATCCCAGCACTCTGGAGCCTAAGGCAGGGGATCAAAAGTTTGAGACTAAGGAGCCAAGATGTAGTTCAGTGCCGCTGCACCTGCCTTGCAAGTGCAAGGTCCTGAGTTCGATTCCCAGTACTGGGAGAGGAAGAAATGTTTGAGACCAACCTGTGCTACATAGTGATTTTAAGACCACCCTTGGACTACATGCCATCACTCTGTCTCAAAAACAAACATAGGGCCGGGGATTTAGCTCAGTGGTTCTGCTGCCCGCTTCGCAAGCACAAGGTCCTGAGTTCGATCCCTGGTACCAAAAAAAAAAGATAAGTCTGGAAAAAACCGTTTATAGCATAGCGACTTTATGCTTCTGTTATAGTAACCATAGTCTGTTACATAGTTTCTGCTGATTGCATATTTGTAAAAACTTTATGCTGGAAATTTTTTCACATATATATAGGCAGACATTGGTGTAAAGAACAACCTTGTGCATCTTTTACCCAGCTTCAGTGATGACTAGCTCTTGGATAATTTATTTCATCATTATTCCCATTCTTTCTTTGTTTTGTTTTGGTTTCTTGAGGCATGGTCTTGCTGTGTAGTGGCCAGCCTTGAACTCACTATGTAGCCCAGGCTGGTATTGAATTTGAAGCACTCCCCCTGCCTCAGCCTCCTAAGTGCTGGGATTACAGGTGGCTGGTATTATTCCCATTCTTTTTCAATAGTTTTTGTTGCCACACCCCAAAACTGACTGAATTTTCAAGAAATCCTGGGTAGATCATTTTATTCTCTGTAGACACACTTCCTTCATTGTGAATCTCTAAGAGAGAGCATAATCACAATATTTTTTGCACATTTAAAAAATTTGCAGGAGAGGCTGGGGATTTAGCTCAGTGGTTTCATTGCCTGCTGTGCAAGCACAAGGACTTGGGTTTGATCCCTGGTACCAAAAAAAAAAAAAAATTTGCAGGAACCAGGGTATTGGTCAGTGGTAATGTGCGTGCTTGGCATGCATGAGGCCCTGGGTTCAGTCTCCAGACCGACAAAATTTTAAAAATAAAATAATTCCTCATATTATCAAATATCCAGTAAATGTTCAGATTTCGAATTGCATCATAAATGTCTTTCTTTAACTAGGAGGCAAATACATTGCAATTGGTTGATACACATCCACGATGTCTACTGACAGCAAGAAAGTTAAATTTGCTGTGCCACCTGAGCTGTATGTTCTTATTTATTTTTATATCTCTAGTTAATTTATTTCTTGGTGCTGGGGATTGAACCGAGGGCTTTGTGCATGCCAAGGCTGTACTCTACTGCTGAGCTACACCCCCCGCCAAGGATGTTTATATTTAGATCATCTGTGTTGTGTCATATTTCCTATTCTGAGACTGAGGGGCCTTTGAGCCTTGATCTGGAAAAGGAACAGGCCCTGGCAGCCCGACCCAGCATTGCCAGTAGGGGGGCGTGGTGATGACCGCCACCTGGGTTGAAGTGCCCTGGTGGTGATAGTGTGGTTTTGTCCCTTTTTGGTGAGATGTGTTTGCAGAACATTTTGTTGTGAGATTTTAAGAAAATCCTTTTCTTTATTTTTTAATTGTTTTTGGTACTGGGGATCGAACTCAGGACCTTGCACTTGCCAGACAGGTGGTGGAAAATCCTTTTCTTTATAAGAAGACAGATAATTATGTGAGTGACTTGTTTCCCATATCCTGTTGTCTCGCTCTCCTCATCATCACGTCTTCTGGTGGTGGGGCAGGCTGACGTTTCACGCTTCCTTTGCCTCGGGTAGGTCTGTGATGAGGAATGGCACCACTTCGTCCTCAACGTGGAGCTCCCGAGTGTGACTCTGTACGTGGATGGCGTTTCCCATGAGCCCTTCTCTGTGACCGAGGATTATCCACTCCATCCATCCAAGATAGACACCCAGCTCGTGGTTGGGGCTTGCTGGCAAGGTAACACCGTCCCGGCTCCCGGGTGGCGGGAACGAATGCCTCTCTTCTGTATTGGAACCAATGCCTGTCTTCTGTATTGGTGGGGACAGGCACTTAGCAGTGTCTCTGCCCTGTACCCTCCTTTACTTTATCCTTTCACCCTTTTCCTGTGCTTCATGAGAAACTATAGAAATTTATAGTCTGAACTGGGGCATGGTGTCACTCACCTGTGTGTGTCCCCTCTCGGGGACACTGCTGATGCCATTCTGGAGCGTAACCCTGTCTCTGGGTGCCCAGGAAACCATCACCCTTCCTGTGGACCTGGGAGGGTGCAGTGCATGGAAGAGAACGTACCTGGTTTATAAGTAGTCGTTTATTGGACTTTACGTGGACAGAGGGGCAACAGTCAGCAGTGAGGCACAAAGATCTAAAGGACTTAAAAATACCTGGACCCAAAGGGTTCTCCTGATGTAGTGTTTGGCAAGCTGGTAGGAAGCCGGTAAGGGAACCGTCAGCTTGTGCCTCCTCAGGAGAGGATTCGGTGGGAATCTTCGCTGAAAGACTGAGGCTGTGGTGCGGTCAGCACACCCGAGCGACAGTACCAGCCATTCATGCACACCGGGTGGCAGGCCGTGTGCCCACGCTGCAGGAGCGGGCTCAGAGAAGAAGTGAGCCCGGTTTGGCCAGGTGACAAATCGGAGCTGGGATTTTCAAGGGAAAGCTGTGCGCTTGGCCGAGCTCTTTGTGCTAGACAGGAGTGTGGACATTGCTTGTGAGGGGAGCCTGTGGGCCACTTTGCGTGTGATACACAGGACCTAGGTGCCTGTGCAACCTGGAGGTGGTCCCATGCTCATGGAGTAGCACCTGTGGTGCTCTGCTCAGGCATGGGCTTTACCAGCCCTAACGCCCGAGGAGCGAGGGCTTCGTGACAGTGTGTGGTGAGGTAGGTAAGTGCCAGCTAGTTCTTCTGGTGACAAGAGTCGCAGCTTACCCCAGCACTGCTGTGGTTTGTAGCCTGTTTATAACCAAAAGAAAGGCTGAAACCAGGCCCAATACCCATTATTTCTGATCTGCTCTCATTACGTTTTTTTTTTTTTTTTTTTGAGACAGGGTCTTGCTATGTGGTTCAGGCTAGCCTTGAACTCATGGCGATCCTCTGGCTTCAGCCTCTGGAGTGCTAGGATTACAGGTGTGTGCCACCATGCCTGGCTTTCTCTCATTCCTTTTTGCCTCTGCTGTCTCAGCATCTTCAGCCAAAAATAACACCAAGTAGCACGGGTTCTTTAACATTTGGTTTGCGGGGAGCAGCTCCCTTTTCCTCTTGGTGGATGTAAAACCACTGCCCTTGCCGGTTCCCCACAGAGGAGGAGGAGGCTCGGCCACATGCAGGCCATGTCGTCTGTGGACAAGACGTGTCCTGCGCTGAGCTGGAGGTGCCTGCAGACCGTGGGCCAGTGCTGGGCACCACTGACGGCACCACATCCCCCAGTGCTGCTGGATGCGCTGCCCTGAGCTGACTGCTTGCAGCTCCAGCAGCTGTGGTGGCCCCGCGGGCTGTTTCTGTCAGTGAGCTCCTTAGCCTCTCACATCGCTTCTGCTCATGAAAGTGTCTTCAAATGGCTCTGTCACTTGAAGCCCAGATGCAAACCTGTTTTCAGCTTCCCCCAAATACAGACTCAGTTGTGGTCCTAGAGCGGCCTGCGGCCCTGTGTGCACTTTGTTTCGTCTGTGCAGTGTCTTCCTCCCCAGAAGTGCATCAGTGTGGGCACAGGGTTGGTATCTTTCTGTCTGGGACTCGCCAGTCAGTGCTGAGCCACTGGGATGTCTGTTCCTGCCTGGCTGAGGGATCGTCGATGTTGGTGCTCTTACTCATCTGTTTGAGTCTAATTTGCATTCAGCAACAAGGGAATGGGAAGGTGGAATAAAAGCAAAATACGAAAGCATGAGGGTGTCGATCTTACTTCTGGGAAAAGATGATCAATCTTGCCTGGCCTGGAATACGTCCCTTAGAGGGATAAGGAGAGAATTTTCTCTGTGGGTTTTATATTTGGTTGGTTCACAGTGATTTTCACAGTCCAATTTGAAGACCCTAACCTCTTGGTCCTTTTCTATTGTCTTTGTCTTGCTTTTCCACAGAGTATTCAGGAGTTGAAAATGACAATGACACTGAACCTGTGACTGTGGCCTCCGCAGGTTGCTGGATTCTTCCCCTACAATTGACTATTGTGTTTCATTTACTGATGAGACATTGATTCATTCCACATGTCGCATGATGTGCTGAGCTGCATCTGGGCCCCCACACCCTTCCAGCTGCTTCTCTGCATTGTGCCCCCATTGCCCCACAGGGTTCCCTTTCTGCCTCACTGAAGTGAGGGTGAGGGACTCATCCATGCCGCACTCCCGTGGGGTTTTTGTTCCTCGCCAAGTCCTGCCTGTCTACTGTGTTGGCTCCCTGCTAATGTCTCCCAGGCCAGCTTGGGGGCCACCTCATGGTGCTCCTGGGCTGAACTGAGGGACAGGAAATGACCCGTTTCTAGATTTCCTGTCCTGAGTGATACTGAATTCTAAAGCAACACTTCTTAGCAGTCTTGATCCTTGGTGATGGCTTGCCATTCCTGGTGCCCTGATAGAATGGGACACATTGCAGAAGGTGTGTCCCTTCTCCCTCACCAGTGCAGGGTTTCATTTGTAACTCCCCTGTGTAGTCCCTCAAGGGCCATGTTCTGGCTTTTAGTTTCCTTCAGTAAATCTTCCCTTCCTGGTTATCCTCACAAGTAGGAGACATGAACGATGGGTCTTGACCAAACAGCTCCCCCTAGAAGGGGAACTTGCAGCATCTCTGTCCCCTCTGCCATGCTTGCGTGGCTATATCCCCAAGCATGTGTTCCCAGGTTTAGTGCAGCCACAATGTGCCCAGCTGCCTGCAAGGTAGTGGAGAGCTGGTGTTGGCAAGCAGTGTGGCTGTGTACTGTGGTGATCACCATGGTGATGGGGAGAGGGTCCGCCACCAGCTCCAGGGTGTGGCTGGATGTGCAGGGACTCTCACAGGACCTCGTGGCTGTGGGTGAGGGACCCCCAGCCCCTCCCTTCTCCAGGCCATATGCATGATCCATCAGCGATTTAATGTCTTCATTGCGCTTCCATGTAGATTGCAAAGCTAACAGGATTGGGTCTGAACTAACCTGCATGCCTTTTCATTGAGCTGCACCACTGGTAACGCTGCGTTGAAACCAAGCCAGGAGCACCGGGCTGCACCCCTCACCCTTCTCTCCCCTCTCCCAAAGGAGGTGACCTGCACATGACCCAGTTTTTCCGAGGGAACCTGGCCGGCCTAACCGTCCGGACCGGAAAACTCGCAGACAAGAAGGTGATCGACTGTCTGTACACCTGCAAAGAGGGGTTGGACCTCCAGGTCCCCGAGGACAGCAGCGCCGTGCAGGTAACTTGAGCATGCACCTGCCCTGGGCTTGGGCACCTGGGGACAGATGACATCCACACCTGAGATGTCACTGTCACGTAAGAGAGAGAATGTCGCTGTCATTCACTGCAGTTACAGTGGCTTTTCTTAGCCAGGCCTGGTGGCACCTGTCTGTCATCCCAACACTCTGGAAAGCTGAGGCAGGAGGACCACAAGGTCAAGCCCAGCCTGGGCAACTCAGTGACTTAGCAAAACCCTGTCTCAAAGTTAAAAAAAAAATTGTTGCAGAGGCCCTGGGTTTAATCTCTAGTGTCCAGAAGAAGAAGAAAAAAACTTTTTTCAGTTCACCAATTCAGATCATATCCAAACTCTTGGTGGGCACGGTGGTGCATGCCTGTAATCCCAGCAGTTGGGAGGCTGAGGCAGGAGGATTGCCATGAGTTTGAGGCCAGCCTGGGCTACATGGTGAGACCCTGTCTCAAAACCCAATAAAGAGAGAGAGAGAGAGAGAGAGAGAGAGAGAGAGAGAGAGAAAGAAAGAAATATCCCTCCAGATTCTTCTGTGCCAAAGCCTCAGTGGCTTCAGCCCCTCACAGCAAGGGCCTTGTGCCCTCCCCTCGTGTCTGTGTGGTTCCAGGTCCGACCCAGCCCCGGCCAGTCGGTGTTGACTCTGGAGGGTGATGACATTGGGGAGCTAGACAAGGCCATGCAACACCTCTCCTACCTGAACTCGCGGCAGTTCCCCACGCCGGGCATCCGGAGACTCAGAGTCACCAGCACGGTCAAGTACGTCCTGAGCATTAGCAGTCAGCTTCTGTCCACCCAGGGGTGCTGGAGGAGAACCGCACATGCTTGGGTTTTGAGATGCCCTTGCTGCCCTCTGTAAGGAAGGCAGAGGGGAGCGCGGGCTCTGGCCTTGGCTGTGTCTGGGGACATGCACTTCTGCAGGGCCACTGCCATCTGTCCCCGCCAGGTGTGTGGAACTATTTGCTGTGGGCCCGATGTGGCTCTCACGGATGCTCCCCACTCCCTTGCTGCCAGGTGCTTTCATGAGGCCACCACCTGCATCCAGGTCCCCCCAGTCGAGGGCTACGTGATGGTTTTGCAGCCTGAAGAGCCCAAGATCAGCCTCAGCGGCGTCCACCATTTTGCCCGTGCGGCTTCTGAGTTTGAGAGCTCCGAGGGGGTCTTCCTGTTCCCCGAGCTGCGGATCATCAGCACCATCACGAGGGAGGTGGAGCCCGAGGGGGACGGGGCCGAGGACCCCACAGGTAACAGCCACTTGCAGAGCTGTCCCTTCAGCTCGACTGGAACCCCCTGGCCACCACTATGGCCCCAGCCTCATTCCCTGTGGGGTTTGGGGGCTGAGTGTTTTGCCGAGTGCACAGGGTAGGGCTGCTTCCAAAGCCTGTCTCTTCGGGCTGGCGTCACCATGGGCTCTGGAAACCCCTGGTCTGCAGGGCCTTTCACTGTTTCTGGCTGACTTCAGGCCCCGTGGGTCAGCCCACAAGAGGAAGTGTCCCCACACTCGCCGGGACTCAGTAAGTCCTCCTGCTCGTTTACTAGCTGATTATTTAGTCCAGGGCCATACTCTGCAAACCCCAGTTCCCCTGGTCCTTAGAGGGCTTTGCAAGCTTGTGCACCTGCCAGCCAACATGTGAGAGGCACTCGAGGACACTGTTCAATTCGGGGTGAAGCCTCACAGGGCCCCAGCCTCATAGCCTCTGGCTTCTGCAGTCCAAGAGTCCCTGGTGTCTGAGGAGGTTGTGCATGACCTGGATACCTGCGAGGTCACAGTGGAGGGAGAGGAGCTGAACCTGGAGCAGGAGAGCCTGGAGGTGGACGAGGCCCGGCTGCAGCAGAAGGGCATCGAAGTGAGCCGCTCGGGCCTGGGCATGGTCCTCAGAGGTGAGTGGGAGGCCGAAACCCCTGCCCTACCCACCTCCTCCTGCCACCTGGGAACTGGGGGTGTTGGTGTTGCTGCATGCTGACCCCTCGGGACGGGAAGGAGATGTGGGTGCTGCCTTAACACAGGGTGGGGCTGGCGAGTGGTGGCTCATGCCCTGAAGGGAAGAGCCCCACATGCTGTGCCTGTGCCCCCCAGTTGGAAAGGCACAGTAGGGAACCCATTGGCTCAGCCACCCAGTGCCTGACTTTAGCCACTTTTTTCCTTTAACCCTGTAGGGGTGGAGACCATGGTCAGCTATGAGGAGGTTTTGCACCTCCTTCGATATCGGAACTGGCATACCAGGTCCCTGCTTGATCGGAAGTTCAAGCTCATCTGCTCTGAGCTGAATGGTCGCTACCTGAGTAATGAGTTTAAGGTGGAGGTGAGTTCAGGGCTCCTACCCAGAAGGGCCAGCAGTAATTGGGGACCTTGACTAGTTTCTGGAATACTGGAGATGGAACATAGGGCCTTTGTACTGAGCTGCATCCCCAGGCCTTTTATTGAGACAGGGTCCCACTAAGTTGCCCAGACTGGGCTGGAATTTATGATCCTCCTGCCTCAGCCTCCCAGAGTGCTGGGATTACAAGGGTGTGCTAAGTTTTCAAAGGCCAGTGCTTGGCGCAGTCATGGTGGCAGCCATTCAGGCTCATCCCAGGGGTGGCAACCTTTTCCAGCCTGGAGTATGCTGTGGGCCAGATGTGCAGGCCGCAGGGGCTGGATCCACGTAGCAGGCAGAGCCAGAGCCTCAGAAGCCGAGGGGCAGGTGACAGAGTGTGCAGGGGGCATTTCACGTGTGAGGACGCTGTTCGGAGAACACCACTCAGGCCCAAAAGTCTCCGTGGCTGGGCCAGGACCAGGGGCTCACTGGGGGCCGACACTGCCCGGCTGGTGGCCGTCACTGTCAGGCTACAGTGCCCAAGAGCAGCAGCTTGTCCTTCTCTGAAACCACCCACAGCCCCCACTGCAGCTTCTTCAGCCCTTGGAGCTCCGTGGTCTGGAGAAAGGGACCCACAGTTGCTCTTGGCGTCTGTCATCTCCACCGTGGCCTCAGGGTGGCAGCCACAGCCTCACGGTGCTGGGGATGAGTGTTCATTTGAGCCGAAGAGGAGTTGACTGGAAAGGAAGCAGTGATGACACATGCTGTCTTGCATGGCAAGGCTCGGGCAAAGGGAGATTGCTCCATACCACGTCGGGGGAGGCCAGCAGTGGGTTTTCACTGTTGTGGATGCTCTAAGCGAATGATTAAAAACGCAGTGTGTGTCTTGGGTGTGTGATAATATCAGGTTGTTGCAGCAGCTTCTAAGGGCTGTGGATTTTCCTCGGGTTGCAGACGTTAGCATTCTGCTCCTGGCCTGGCCCAGGGCCACTTGTGTGATATGTGTAGGACCCATGCAGGATGCCGGTCTCCAGCAACCCATCCTGCTCTCTCTCCCTCCCTGTCTCCCTCTTTCCTTCCTTCCTGCTCTCTGCTGCAGGTGAACGTGATCCATACGGCCAACCCTGTGGAACATGCCAACCACATGGCTGCCCAGCCACAGTTTGTTCACCCTGAACATCACTCCTTTGTGGACCTCTCAGGTCACAACCTGGCCAGTCCTCACCCATTCGCAGGTAGGCTGGCACGGGAAGCACTGGGGCATAAATGCACTGGCATCCAAGCAAGGCCCAGGGCCCCCACAGCTGGCACATTGTGTCCCTGTTACTCCGTCACCCAGGAAAGCTCACAGAGCCACAGGGCAGGGGGAGCTCCCCCTGGGGTTTCCTCTGTCGGTGGGGCCGGGGATGGGTGTGGCCTGTCCTCCCCTAGAGCAGCTGAGGAAGCCAGGCGCAGGATGGTCATCCCGAAATCCGTTCTCCTCTCGGTCTCCTGGCAGTGGTCCCCAGCACCGCCACTGTGGTGATCGTGGTGTGCGTCAGCTTCCTGGTTTTCATGATCATCCTGGGAGTGTTTCGGATCCGGGCTGCACACCAGCGAACGATGCGGGACCAGGACACGGGGAAGGAGAATGAGATGGACTGGGACGACTCTGCGCTGACCATCACCGTGAACCCCATGGAGGTAGGAATGAGTGGCTGATGCTGACCGCAGAGCCTTGTCCATGTGCCGTGTCTGTGACCCCCACAAAGGGTCCCCCCTTCAGACGGTAAACTGAGGCTCAGGGAGGCCGTCACCTAGGGAAGAGTAGGGCACATTCACAGCGGGCCCTGCTCTCTGGACTGTAGCCGGGAACCAGTTGGTGCTGGCTGTGTGGGCAGGGGTGGAGGAGGAGCAGCTCACCTGGAGCCCGGCTGGTTCCCTGGGAGGGTCCCCTTTTCTCCTCCTGGGTGGCTCCGACTGTGGGTTCTGGGCTGTGGGGCCTGAGCTGGACTCACGCCTCCCTCCCTTTGACAGACGTATGAGGACCAGCACAGCAGTGAAGAGGAGGAGGAGGAGGAGGAGGAGGAAGAGGAGGAGGAGAGCGAGGATGGGGAGGAGGAGGAGGAGGAGGACATCACCAGTGCGGAGTCAGAGAGCAGTGAGGAGGAGGGCGGCCCTGGCGATGGCCAGAACGCGACCCGGCAGCAGCAGCTGGAGTGGGACGATTCCACGCTCAGCTACTGACCCAGCAGCCACCCCAGCCCTTGGGGCCTCAATGTACAAAGTCCTTCGGCCAGCAGTTCTGCAGACCCCGCCTGCCTGCCTGCCAGCACTTGGTGTTAGGGCCATAGCTCCGCCCTTGTGTGCCCTCCGCCCACCCAGACCTCTGCTCAGTACCCAGAGCCAAGCCCTCCCTGCCACTTCCCACCAGCCGGTGCAGGCCCCTGTGTCCCTGCTAGCCCAAGAGGGCCCTGGCTCCCCGTGCCTCCAGAAAAGCTGCAATGACCGGACTTGGTGACAAAGGGTAAAAATTGCTCACTCCCACCCAGTAATTATTTTTTCTTTTTTTTTAAGAAAAGTTTTTATTTTTTCCAAACTAGTGCATGTATAAAGTGGCAGAATGGGGGTTAATATGTAGATGATCGATGACTTTTTAATATTTTGTAAATAAATCAAGGTTCTCTGTGCCCTTCGTGCTAGTGTAGCCCAGGACGGGAATGCAAAGTGGAGCTGAGCACTCTGGTCATGGGGCCTGGCTCCTGTCCCTCCCCACCACCTGCTTCCTCCTGAGAGGCCAGAGGCGAGCTGCTTGGGACCAGATCAGGGCCCTGCCTGGAGGCTGGGGTGGCCAGGCCTTTGCTCTGGAGTTGGGGCTCCCCGGCCTCTTCCATGCTCCCCTCTGCTTCAGCAAGGCCTGAGCTCAGCAGGTGCAGCCGTGTAGTTTACACTTAACAGACGTCGTGTCCCTGCTAGTAGAAGTGTGTGTAAGTCACGGGAGCCACAGTCGTTGTACAGAACGTTGGTGCTTGGTTTGCAGACGGCAGCAGCCCGAGGGAGCTGCACACAGAACGGCCCCACTGTCTGTCTCCCTCCTCCCCAGCCCCCGCAGAATGACCCCTGCCGTGCCCTGCCGGGTCAGAGCCGCACCCCAGAGCCCCAGAGCTGGGCGTCCTGCTGCTGTTTGGGGGCCCAGGCCAGAGCAGAGCGAGCAAGTGCACCCAAACACACCGCGCCGCTCCCCTTCCCTGCCCAGCCCCGACTACCCCATCACCCCTTCACCCTGAGTGCTGTCCTGTGACCTCACTGCTGGCTTGGAGGATGGGGCGCCATGCTGTGTGCATCCTGTCCCTGAGGCTGCTGTGTAGACGGGCAGCGCCCCGCAGAGGCCCTTCTGTGCGTCCTCAGATGTGTATATTGGCGCTAGGTCAGAAAGTGTACACTACAATAAAGCTCTGGTTCTAACTCTGCTTGGAGTGGGGTCTGTTTCTGCCTTGTTTTAACCCTGCATTCCCTCGTTTCTTGTTGAGCCGAGAACATACGAACATAAAAAGACTTTTATTTCTTTCCACCTTCCTTCCGTTCTCACATCAAGGTTACACGGATTTAGCCCAGGTCAGTGATACTGAACTTGTCTTCCCCAGACAGAAACGTGAAATGACTTTAAAAAAAAATAGAAAATACTTCTTCTTGCCGGGCACACAGACTGTACACCCAGACCACAAGTCACCGCTGAGGGTGTGCAGAATCTGCAGCCCGTGCCGGGGAGCACCCAGGCCTGTTTCAATAAATAACACAACATAAACACGTACACGAGGCTCTCCTTGGCTGCCTGAGCTGGGAACCGGAGTTCAGTCACTCGCCTTGCAGAACGTTGCTGCTGGAGCCCAGCTCCTCAATGGAGACAACTGGCACCAGGCCTCCTGAAGCCGAGCCCCTGGGCTGCTGAGCCTTGGAAGGTGCTGAGGGGCCAGTCGTGAGTGGCCAGGGTCGGGACTGCCATGGGCTGCTTGATTTTTTGGTTTTTTTGTTTGCAGTGTTGCAGATAGAACCCAGGGCCTTGTCCATGCTATAAGCACACGCCCTGCCACTGAGACTTGCCCCCAGGCCACGTGGGCTTCTGAAAGCACAGGTTCCTGGCCCTGTGGCCACAGTGGGTCTCAGAAGTCTGGGAGAGGCCCAGGGGCCTGGACTGCTTCCCCTGCCCCGACCCAGCCCTCAGGGAGGCCGAAGGCTAACGGGACCATTTCAGACTAATCGCTGTCAGAGAAAGGAGCCATCTCGAGGTTCCACGATCATGTGGGGACCTGGTGATGGTCAGCAGCTTCCCAGTAGGGACAGCTCCGGGTGACATCAGGTCCTGCCCCTTTGTTCCAGACGGCCTGCGAGGCAGCTCACACATCAGTGCCCCAAGGACGCCATTCGTCCCCTTGGCCAGGGCAGTGACCAGGGTGAATTCGGTCATGGTCAGGTCTCTTCAGCACGGCTGGAGGACCAAGCCGTGGTGGGAGCTGGGTACTTATCCCCAACCTTAGCGGTTCACAAAGTGTCTGGCTATTTTCCTACCTGAAAGTGAAAGAGGTAAGGACATCTCCGTACCGAGAGTCACATCAGCAGTGACAAGCAAGTGTCCCTGAGTCTAGAGAGTACCCGGCTGCCTCGTGAGCAGCCCAGGACTTGGTCAGTGGAGGAGAAGGAGGCAGAGGCGAGCCGAGGGTTGAGGTGTCCTGTCTGGAAAGGAGGTGGCAGGGGACGCCTGGCCACCAACCCCAGGCAGGCAGGCCGAAGCCTGGGAAGAAGATTCTCCACCTGAGACAGGTCCGTGGGGCCAAGGTCCCTCGGCTAAAAGACCTGAGGCGACCGTGCTCAGCTGGGAGCAGGGTGCCTGGCTCAGCGCCCCTCCCCCATGCTAGGGTACGTTTCCATTTATGGCTGTTTTGCTCCTTAACATTTCGGTCATAAATAAATAACCAGTGTAAACAAAAGACAACTGTGTGGTTCCTTCCTGTGAGGTGCCGTTCAGGCTCTTAGGCCCGTTTAAGATGACTTGAGGGCGCCTGGTCCCCAGGACCACAGTTTACCTCTCAGGCTGAGCCAGGAAGGACAGGGCATGGCCGGAAGGGGCCGCTACTGCCTGTTATCTTTGGACACGTTGTGTGCCAGCCAGTTCACTTTGGTCTTCCAGCTCTCCCTGAGGGCTTCGTTGAACTTCACCCGGAAGTGCTTCAGCGCCTCCTCCTCTGTTTTCCCCAGCGCCAGGGAGTCCTGGGACAGGGCCATACAGCAGCATCATCACTTGGGCCCATCCCCACCCCAGTGTGTGGCTCTTTCTGTCCCCTCGAGGTATGCAGGGAATTAGCTGAGCTCCCTTGGGAAAGTGCATTACTCTGACCCCAAACCCAAGTTCCCAGGCCTACTATAAGTTCAGGTGCCACAGGGGTGTTGGGCCCACAGCCCATCACGGTGCCAGCAGACCCTGCCCTGACTGTGGGAGCAGGGCTGGGGGACACAGCGGCCCCACACCCATCTCATAGCCAGCATAGGAAGGAGCCGTCCCAGCCCTCGCTGTGCCCGAGAGGAACTGTGGGGACTCACGGGGTGACGCACCAAGCAGGTCTAAGCCCAGGGGGCCTGGCTGCTCTGGCCACTTCCCACCATTCCCCACACTGGGCCCCTGGGTGCCCGGAGGCCCCTACTCCTGCCCTTCGCACCTTGAGGTACTGGATGTCTTTGGAGCAGCTGAGCTCAGGCAGGCCCGCTGCCCGCATCAGTGCAAAGAGGTGGAGGAAGAGGAGGCCATGGCGCCGCAGGATGGTGTAGGCTCGTTCGCAGTAGCCCCGGAACCTGCGGGAGAAGAGCCCAGGCAGGTGAGGCCCGGGGTTGTGCACTCCGAGACCATGGGGCAGTCGGCATCTGCCTGCAGAGTCCCGGAGCATTGCTCTGGCCCCGTGACAGTGTCCATGCTGCCCCACGTCCCCACCTCTCACACCACCCAGGAACCTCTTCTGCCATTGCCCCAAGAGGGCCAGGAGACTTCTGTCCCCTCCCTGGCGGCCCTGGGCAGCCTCACCTTTCAAATTTCTCGCTGTTATTCGTCTTTCCCTGCTGAATCACGTGGACGAAGTCATAGGTGAGGATGAACGGGACCCGCTCACGGTTGATTCCAAACTTGGTCTTGAAATTTCCCAGGAAGTGGCCAAAATCAATGTGGAACAGCTGAGGGGAGCGAAGGGCCAAGCCTGAAAAGCTGTCAGTCCCGCGGGAGAGGGGCAGGTGCGGGGCTCGGGGACTCTTTGGGAAGCTGTGCGCCTAGTCAGAGGACAGCAAGCGCAGCGCCCTTACCTGCCCACTCTCACGGATCATGATGTTGTCGCTGTGCCGGTCACCGATGCCCAGCACGTAGGTGGCCACACAGTAGCCAGCACAGGACAGGGTGAACTCTTCAATGGCTCGCTCCAGGGCCTCCCTGGGGGTGTGAGGGGGGAACTGAAGCCCACGGTCACACTGCTGCACAGCAGCTTTTTCAGCGAGCTGGACTCTGTTTCCCTGCCTTGAACCCTGCCTGGACCGTGATGGATGCCATTCTGGAGCTGAGGCCGAGGCCACCTTGCAGATCCTGGGTCGCGCCCCACTGCCCCGGCCCCACCGTGCGGAGAGGGTGAGGCTGCGTGGAGAGCCGGTACCAAGGCCCCAGCACGCGACGGGCCGTCTCCGACAAAGTCCCAGATAGCAGTGGGTACAGAGCCAGTGCCAGCAAGACCAGCAGAAATGCACAGCCGAGCCAGTCATGAAGGCGCTGGTTTTAAAAAGCTCTGAGCTTTGAGGAGCATGAACGGATCTGTGGGGACTGAGACCTGCCCCATCCCACAAGGCGTCCTGGGCTGACCATGGAGACTGCCCCTGGCTGTACCCTCACCCTGGACACTAACAGGCCGCCCTCCGCATCCCACCTCTCAGGAAGGAACCCTACCCAGGGTTCTTGGACTTGAGCCAGTTGAGCAGGGCGTCCTTGTTGAAGGCGGCCGTGGCTGCCATGTTGCTCTTGTTCAGCTGGATGTTGGCGATGGTGTCCGAGTGCAGCACCACCTCGATGAGGCCCGTGCGGTCCCCGGTGGGGAGGCAGCCGTAGGGCGTCATCCTGGGTGGGGGGGGTGGGAAGATGCCGAGGTCAAGGGCTGTCCCTGGGGCTGCTGGAGCCCCAGGAGCTTGAGGCACCTAGAAAAGTGCCAGGGGATGCGGCTGCTCGAGTCGCTGCGCCGGGGGAAGGCTCTGGAGACAGCGGCACCAGCTCCCTGACGCAGGGCGCACTTGGCCGAGCTCAGGTTTGCTTGGAAGAAACAAAGCAGGGGGCAGAAGGAGATGTGTCTGCTTTCCCAGATGGAGCAGCCCGGAAATGTGGGAATGAGGAGCGGCCTTCCCTCCCCTCCCTGCTGCCTGTGGCCTCCCAGCTCCATTATAGCTGTGAGGGCAATGTCATGGCACAGGCTCTGAGGCTGGCGTGGGCACAGATGGGTGGCAGGGGGCCCCACCTCAGGTCCAGGCCCTCCTGCTTCCATAGCACATCCATGAGCTGGATCATCTGCAGGGTCAGCATGTCCTGGCGGAGGTCTGCAGCAGCCGGAAGGAAGGCCATGGTTCCTGGTGGGTCCTGCCATGACAGGCCCCTAGGGTCCCCCACCCCCTGTCCCATGCTGCCCAGCCTGGCTCACCATCCCCGTTCTTGAAGATGATGCCCACGCTGCCAGTGGTGCCCGCCTCCTTGCTGCTGTACATGATCCACAGCGGCTTCATCTTGGAGTCCATGAAGGTGCACTGCTCCACGCTGCAGCCAGACAGCGGGGTCAGCAACAGCACCTCGGCAGCCAGGGCCCTAGGCCAGGGCGGGAGGGACTGGGCCTCACCACACTTCCTCCAGCAGTGTGCTTGGGTCCAGTGGGGACTGCAGGTGGGAGAGTGCCTCCAGATAGGTCTCCTGCCGCATGCACAGGTGCATGAGCTCCTTGGTCTGGGGCTTGGTGGTCTTCTGGGAGCTCACCTTCACGAAGTCATTCAGCGCCTTCAGCTTGTTCAGTGCTTCCCCCTGGCGGACAGAGGGGGCACAGAGGTGGGCGGGGCCTGGTCCTGCCAGACAGTGAGCCCCGAGGAGGGTGCCCTGCCTCACCTGCTTCATCAGCACCTTCATGTGGTGGGTGCTGCCCCTGCAATAGGCCTCCATGATGAGGCCAAAGCGCAGGGCCACTGACGGCACGTGCATCTCAGAGCTGTGGGAGGAGCACGGCTGAGCCTCGCCAGGCTCAGCTGCAGAGCCCCTTCCCCAGCCCCAGTGAGGGAGGACCTGGGGTGGCCGGGACACCAGGCCAGAGTCCCCCTTCCCTCGTGGCCAGGGCAGCCCCAACTACCGGAGATGCCAGAAGAGGAAGTGGCCGATCTTGCGGTTGGCCAGCGCCCGGTCCAGCAAGAACTTGGTCAGCTCGCAGTCCAGGTAGGACTCATACTTGAGCACCTGGACCAGCTGCAGCAGGTACTGGAAGAGCTCATCATCCCTGCAGGAAGGGAGGCTGGCTGGGGCCTGGAGCGAGGCCACTGGGCAGGGGGGAGGCCGGGCTCAGCTGCCCAGGTGCCCCCTCCAGGCCCACAGGGGACTCACGTCAGTTTCCGCAGGGACCTGATGGCAAAGGAGCCCACGTGACAGTCAGGGAAGCTGAAGTCCAGCAGCTCCAGGGCACTCAGGATGGGCAGCTCGGGCCAGGAGCACAGGAGGTAGAGCATCTGGGGGTGCATGGTGGTCAGGGGGTGGTGGCAGCACTGCCCCTGTGCCTCAGCTCTGCCCGGGGTGCCCCTTGCACCCACCTGGGCCACATCCTCGTGCTTGTGCCACTTGGTGACCAGCAGCAGGCGGGCCAGCGCGTCTGGGAAGTGCTCCTGGACCTCATGCCGCATCTTCCACACCAGGTCCTTCTCATGCTCGTACAGCTCGCCCGAGCCCCGCCGCTCCAGGATCTCCCTCAGCTGCAGCTGCTGAGGGGCGGGCAGCATGAGGGCCCCAGCTAGGCCCGGCTCCACGCCTGGCCCAGGGCCCCCGCTCACCTCCTCCTCCGTGCCTTGTCCGCGCTGCTCCCCGTGTCTCCCCAGCTCCAGGATCTGAAATGAATTGCCCTGCTCTCAGGGCCCCAGCCTGGCCAGCCCTGACACCTTGGCAATGGTGCCGACCATGCTCACCGTGGGGGCCAGGCTGGGCACCTCTGGCTGCTACAGGCCAGAGGCATCCCTCCCACTTGCCGTGACAGCCAAAAGCATCATCAATTGCCTGGTGTCTCCACTCAGCCAGAGGGTTTCTGGAAGGGCCACGTGGAGACACCCCAAGGATGGATGTATCCCCGAGAGCCCCAGAGCAGGGCCAGAGAAGCTCTCACAAACCCCTCAGCCCCACTGACCTTCTCCAGGGCAGGGTAGTACACGGGGTGGGGGGCCACCTCGGGCAGGAAGATGACCAGGGCAGCAGCGCTCTCTGTGTTGGGGTTTCCGTGCACGCTCCCCGCGGGGTTCAGCAGCTCACCTTTCTCATCTGAGTGTGGGGACAGGTGGGGTCGTATGGAAGAGGACTTCGGCTCTGGGACACCCCCCCCAGCGCGGCTCCCTCCTGAGCCAGGCCCCACCTGGGACCGAGGGCCACATGTACAGGCGGCGCTCGCCAGTCTTCAGCTGGTCCCGGTAGTCGAACAGCATGATGTTGGCCCAGGCGATCGGGCAGTCCTGTGGGGACGGCAGCAGGTCAGGGCCGGCTGGGCAGCCCCGGGATCACCTGCAGCGGGGTGGGCAGGAGGCGGAGGTCGGACCGAGCAGGGACTCCCGGCTCCCTACCTACCGCCTTCTTAGACTTCTTCTTGGTGGAGCGCGCCTTCTTGGCTTTCTCCACCACGGCATAGAGCGCGAAGCAGAGCCGGGCCATGCGCGGCAGGTCGCAGATGCTGATGTCAAACTCCAGCCGCTGCTTCCACACAGGCTCGGAGCACACGCTGACCTCTGAGCTGGACACTGTCTTGCATAGCATCTCATGGCCGTGGAAGAGCCCGGCCTGCACCACGAGCTGGGGAAGGGGGCGCAGGCACAGGTGAGGGGAGCTGTGGCCAGCCCACCGCCAGTCACCTCCCAACGTCCTATTCCCACACAGGCCAGAATCCACTTCCTGTGTGCAGCAGGGTCCTGCAGAGGCAGCCAGCGGCCTAGGTGGATGCACAGCCATGGGGCAGGGTCAGCACTTGGGCTGTGCATGGGCAACATGGTCTCCAGCCCCAGACTCTGGGACCTCAGACCTGTCCTTTTCCCCACTCCGGGCCTCAATTCCCCCATCAGGGCTGCGTAATTCCAGGGGCCCTTTTGGCTTGAGCATCCTGGGCCTCCCTTCAGTCTCATGAGGCCCCTGTGGGTGCAGAAGGGAAGAGTTTTCACTCTGGCTTGATCAGCCCTCAGCACCCCTCCACCTCCAACCTGCAGGTCTCTCCCGAAAGCCTTTTTTCTTTGTCCTCCGCGATTCCCATCAGGGAACTCAGCCCTTCTCAGTTTACAAAATTACCCCAACAAAAGGGAGCCATGAGTGGTGGTGTATGCCTGTCTTCCCAACAGTCTTCCTACTTAGCAAGACCCTGTCTCAAAATGAAAAAATGAAAGTATGCTTATAATCCCAGCACTCAGGAAGTTGAGGCAGGAGCATCACCGGGAGTCTGAGGACAGCCTGGGCTACAAAGTGAGATTGTCCCAAATCAGCAAACCAAGACAAAACAAACAAAAAAGTGGGAGGATGTTGCTCAGGGCTGAAGCGCTGGGTTCAATTCTCAGTCCCCCCGCAAAAAGGTGGGGGACCCAGACAAGAGAAGCATGCTTGTCTCCAGGTGTCGCAAGTCGCTTTCCAGGTAAAGCCCACACGTGACAGGTGGCTCTGAGGGTCGAGAACAACAGTGGAGCGTGGGCTCCCACTGTGTGTCCTTGAGAGCCAGGGGAAAAAGTGCACAGCCCTTCCAGCGCCCCTGGTAGCACTGGCCCAGTGGGGAGCTCTCCCGAGACCGCGGCTCCTCATCCCTGGCTGGGCCTGACCCCAAACCCCGCCAAAGTCAAATACCCAGAAGCAGCTCGGCCCGATTTCCACGAATCAGCCTCCCTGGCCGACTGGCCTCTCCCTCCCCTCTTCCTGTTTTGCTATGCTCACAGCCATGCCAGCAAGGATGCTGGGTAATGTGGTCAGACGGCTTTCGTGTGACACCCTCCCACTCTCCTTCCTCTGCCGCCCTCCAGGCCACAGCCACCTTGTTTGTGACAAAAAACACGGCTCCTTCCCTCGCCTGGCCCCGGCACCCTACCTTCATGCGCTCATCCGCATTCACCTTGCTGCCCTGGATGAGCTCGATGCAGAACAGCTGCTCCAGCGACCACAGGGACACGGAGGAGGGCTGGGGGCCAGTGGAGCCACAGCTCACATCCCTGAAGAAGGCCCTGGCCACTCCCGTGGGGTGGGGGTCACAGGGTTGTGGCGAGGCTTGGACACTTGTCCCTGACACCAGCCTTGCCCAGGAAACCTGCCCTGCAGGCACCCGGGGCCCCAGCACCCTTGACACCTCTACAAGAAGTGCAGACCCGGGGCCCTCCAGGCAGCCAGGGGGTCCTCCCGACGCTGATGTCAGTCACCCCAGCTTCCCCAGCTCCATTGAAGCCTGGACCCTCAAGGACCCCTGGACCCACAGCCTGTCCAACAGCTCTGGGGTGGGACAACAGGTGTGGGGGGGACCAGGGGAGGGGAACATGTCACTCACCTTCTTGGTGGGAACGGGGGGCGGCTTGGGGTGGGGCTTCTGGACCTGGGGGTCAGGGTTGCCCTGCCCATCCCGCATGGCCAGGATAGAAGAGGAGTGCACCATGGTGAGGTGGGGGGTCAGTCCACTGTGCAGGCAGCTGCAGACATACTAAGTGGGGCGGGGCAGGTGAGCCGCCTGCAGGCAGCCCCACTCCCAGCACTGGGCCACTGGGGACACCAGGGCCTGGCTGTTTCTGCCCTGCCCCACCCTGTGCTCTGGGAGGCCCGGCCAGCCTCACCTGGAACTGGCACAGCGGGTAGCTGCCGTATAGGTACTCGAGCCGCCCGTTCACCTGCAGCACGTAGTCCTCCGGCTGCTCCACCAGCGGCTGCCGGAAGACTGTGGCCTTCTTGCGCAGGGCGCAGGCCATGAGCGCCAGCGGCATGTCCTTGGTGGACACCTGGAAGGTGAAGCTCTCCTGGGGAGTGGAGGGAGGCTTAGCCCTCTGCTGCCGGGCTTTGGGCTTCTGGGCACCAGGGCAGGGTTGGTAGGGCTGTGATCGGGCAGCCCTCGAGGGCAGGGTCTGGCTAGGGTGGTCGTGGAGTAGGGACCCCGGAAGCCCAGTTCAATGACCAGATGGACCAGTGGCAGCGCCGGGACACTTGGCCAAGCCCCTCTCAGGCACAGACACCGGCCCATAGCATCTGAGGCTGTGGAGATGAGGGTGGATTCCCGGGGGCTGGGGACAGCTGGGGAGGTAAATCAGGGGAGGCCTCTTGTGAGCCCTGCAGCCCGATGCAGCAGTCGGGCCAGCAACCTGCGAAGCAGGCGGCATGGACTCACCTCGCTGCCCTCGAATTTGACGTTGACCAGCAGGGCCCGGTTGGGGAGCCTCAGGGTGCTGGGCCCCCAGCTCCCGGCCGAGGGCTCGAGCTGCAGGGGGAAGCTATACTGCAGCCAGTCCTCCCAGCCCAGCTGCTGGCGCCTTGCAGCCGCCTCCTCGCAGAACTGGCGCATCTTGGCACGGAAGTCGTTCACTTCTGGGTCACCCAGGGAGTCGAACTCGTGGAGGCCTGGGGGTGGGGCAGCGGGGGTCAGTGTGGGCGCAGGGCCTGGGCCTGGGGACCTGGCCGCCCACAGGGTTACCTTTGCCGATGAGGAGGCTGATCTGGGAGTTGATGAGCTTCTTGACTCGATCGCCCTCCCGGGCCACCACGCGCAGCACCGGCAGGAAGGGCCGAATGTCGCACAGCCGCCGCTGCTCGTCCTCCAGCTCCTGCTGCTCTGCTGTCTGGTTGACGCAGGTGAACACGTAGGCCTCAGGACCGCTGAGCATGTGGAAGAGCGGCTCATACTGTGCCCGATACCACAGCACCTACAGGGGCCACACTGTCAGGCTTCCTGGCTGAGGGCCCCAGCCCAGACCGCCAGGCGCCAGGGTAGACCCAGGGGCCAGTGCCCTTTGGAGCCCTGGGGTGGATCATGTGACCCCCCAGGCCTCCCAACCCTGCCCTCTGTGACGGTCTTGGGTGCGCTGAGACCGGGGGGCTGCATCCCAGTGTCTCCCTGCAGGTTGCATGGACCTCCTCAGGCCACCCTGGGGGACAGTGGGCAGGATCTTCAGTCACCCCCAGCAATCAGGGTTCATCACCTTGATTTTTAAGCACTGGAAACTGAGAGAAGTTTAGCATGCCAGGGGGATGGGGACGTCATCAGGAGGGAGATGAGCTCAGACCCATCTCAGAGAAACACCCTAGAGCAGGATTTGGCAAACTACAGTTTTTGTTGTTGTTTTGTTTTTGAGGTGACTGGGGATGGAACCCAGGGCTTCTGAACTGAGCAACAACCCCAGCCCATTTTTAATTTTTTAAATTGTGAGACAGGGTCCTGCTAAGTTGCTAGATTGCCCAGGCTGGTCTCAAACGTCAATCCTCCTGCCTCAGCTTCCCAGAGTGCTGGGATTACAGGTGCACACCACCATGCCTGGCTGCAAAATATAGTTTTGGGGCCCCTCTGGCCCACTGCCTGGCTCCTGGCACACACCATGGCCTTTATTTACATATTATCCAGGCTGCTTTCACCATGGCCTCGGCAGGCATGCACAGGCCCAGCACCAAATGACCAGAGCAGGCAACACAGCAGCCAGGGTGGAGCTATTTTCCAGCATCTGATCCCTGGTGTAAATAAAGTTGAAATCAGGTTGAGGCATGAGATCACAGGGACTGGTGTGGGTTTTTTTTTTTGTTTTTTTTTTTGAGATAGGGTTTCTCTATGTATTCCAGGCTGGCTTTGAACTCAGCACCTAACCCAGGATGGCCTTGAACTCTGGGCAATCCTCCTGTCTCAGCCTCCTGAGTGCTGAGATTACAGGTGTGTGCCACCATGTCCCGAAATTGGTGTTTTTAAAGTTTTGACTGTGTCTAAACTTAATCATAATGTATTTAGTTCTGGAAACACAAAAGATCAACTTCATACTGATAGTTATATACAGTTTGTAACAGAAACGAGATGTTATGATGTTCACTCAGAAGTAAAGATGAAAGTTAGTGATCAGAATCTTCAAAAAAAAGCAACATTGTAGACACAGGAAAAAGGAGGAAACAAAGTGTTGACTGTGGCTGTCTCTTATGGCTGGATCATGGGTAAGTTTTTCCTTCTTTTTCTTATTCTAATTTTAATGTGTCTATATTACTTTTGTATGAAGAAAAGTAAAGGCAGAAACGTTTTTCAAAAAAATAGAAAAAAAAGAAAGAAACTTTCTTCTTTTGTGTGTGGGGGGGCATTGTCTTGCTCTATAGCTCAGGCTGTCCTCGAGCTCACTGCATAGCCCAGGCTGGCCTGGAACTTGTGGCAATCCTCTTGCCTCGGCCTCCTGAGTGCTGGCATCACAGGTGTGCGCCACCACGCCAGGCTAGAAAGAAACACTATTGTTGCTGATGGTGGTGGTGGTGCCGGGGATTGTACCCAGGGCCTGTGCACTAAGCTATGTTTCTAGCTCCTTTTTTTAATTTTGAGAGAGGTTCTCACTAAGTCAAACAGCCTGAACTCAAACTGAGGCAATCCTCCTGTCTCAGCCTCCACAGTGCTGGTATAACAGGAGTACACCATGGTTCCTGGCTATGAAACTTAATTTTTTTTTTTTTTTCGGTACCAGGGATTGAACTCAGGACCTTGCACTTGTGAGGCAGGCATGGTGCCACTGAGCTAAATCCCCAGACCAAGAAACTTAATTTTTAAAGAAATCTTCCAGGAAGGGAGACCAAAAAATCTTCAAGGATGGTACTTTGCTTTTATCACTTCTTTTTCTGCTCCCAATGACAGCTTTTGCAACTGTGAGCTAAGGCCTTCCCCAGTGGCACCCCAAGGCAGGCCCTGTGAGACCCACACTTTGTAAGTGTCACAGGGCCTTCAAAAGTCACAGCCACCACCAAATACCAACACCCAGATGTTCACGCTTTGACTCAGCAATCCGTCCTGCAGATTACACAGTAAGACCAGAAACCCTCTTCCGGGATGAGGGTCACGGCAGCAGTGACATCTCTGAAGACGAAGGCCTGGGAGTGGCCCCTTCCAGGCAGTCACTAGCAATCTAGTCATCTAGTCATCTAACACAGGGAAACCTCTACTGCTAGAGGGGGAAGCTGGATGCAGAATGATAAGAGGAGTTGACCACAAGTTTTCAACCATTCTTGAAAATGCTCTGGCTTTTAAAATGTCATTGGAGGATCCCGAGTCTGAGAAGTGATAGGTCCGCCCGTCTGTCTTTCTGCCCCTAGGTCAGAGCCTGCATTTGGGATGGTGCTGTACCTGCTTGATGGTCCTGAGGTTGGCATTGAGGGACACAGGGAAGTTGAGGTAGATCCCCGTGGGGAGCAGGAAGTCCACCACCACGTTCTGATTTTCCTCCTTGGTCCAGAACTCCATGGGGCAGTCGACCCCGGGGGGCATGGTGCCTCACGTCCTGCAGGCGCGAGGAAGCAGAGTGAGCACCGTGCCCTCTAATCCTGTCCCAGCGCTCTGCGGGGTCTCAGGACAGTGTAGCTGGGGACCGAGTCCCAGTCCGTAGGGCATACAGCCCACCCCCCAGGACCTCGCCCACCCCCAGGCCACCTTTGGGGCACCTCTCTTTGGCGGGACATTGCCTGCCTCCCACACATCTGGGCAAACAAAGCCACACGGGCCAGGCTCCAAGAGGACCTGGCACATCTGCCACAGCTGGGGCACAGAAAGGAGAAGGCACATGGCTGGGCAAACACTTCAGGACCTTAGAGAGACTAAAGCCTGCACCCTCTCATCATCATCATCACCATCTTCTGTGGTACTCAGGATTTAACCCATGACCTTCACACTGGGCTACATAACCAGCCCTTTTCATTTATTTTTGAAATTTTGAGACAGGGTCTCGCTAAATTGCTCAACAGCCCAGGCTGGGCTTGAATGTGCCATCCTCCTGCCTCAGCCTCCCAGAGTCTTGCACCGCCATACCTGATTTATCCTCTGAAACCAAAAGGCTCTGGCCATTTACCAACTGGTTGAAATGTCTCAATCATACCGAACCCCAAGTCATCCTCCCCTGCCCCCAGTAAATAACAAAACATTACAGACACAATTGAAGGTCCCTGTGTACCCCACACAGCCAGGTCACCTCTGTCCCTTCCCGGCTCCCTCCCCCCAGGTCACCACCTCCTGGAATCTGCTTGTTTACAGTTTCTATGCATATTTTTATACTTCAGCACACAAACATGTATCCACCAGGAATCCTGATGTTCTGGTTTAAAATTAACCTTACAGAATAGCAGCAGTGCCTTCCACCAGCTGCTCTGGCCCCACAGTGTGATGCCCTCCGGGTGGGTGCAGCACCAGTTCACCATCCTAACTCTGAGCCTGTATTTCACTGGGTCAAGAAAGCACCATTTCTCTACCCCCAACTCTTGATGATGAACCTGAATGTTATTTCTACTTTTCCTGGTGTTACTGGCAATGCTACAATGTATACTCTTGTGACCAAGTCTTGGTGTGTACAAACCAGGGTGAAAGGAGCCTCATCCAGGCCCAATTCTTAATCGCAAGATTACCAGCAACCACATTCAAAGGAGGGAGCGGGCCCGGGATTTACTGAGTGGTTCCGCCGCCTGCCTCGAAAGCACAAGGTCCCAAGTTCAATCCCTGGTACCAAAAAAACCCACAACATGCTCAAAGGAGGGAGCCGGGGATTTAGCTCAGTGGCACTTCGAAAGCCTCAAAAGTGCAAAGTCCTGAGTTCGATCCCCAGTACCGGGGTGGGGAGGAGAAATTTTTATTTATTTTGTTTTGGTTTTTTTGGTACCGGGGATGGAACTCAGGTCCTTCTGCTTGCAAGGTGGGTAGCAGAACCACTGAGCTAAATCCCTGGCCCAAGAGGTTTTATTTAACCCAAAATATCCCAAAAGATGACTATCTCCATAAGTATAGAAAAATTACTTCCCCTCCCCCAAAACAAGGTCTCACTGTGTAGTTCAGGTTGGCCTTGAACGCACTATGTAGCCCAAGCTGGCCTTGAACTCACAAGGATCCTCCTGCCTCAGCCTCTCGAGTGCTAGGATTACAGGCGGGTGCCACCACAGCTGGCTCTGAAATGGTGCTATGTTATTTTAATGTGCATTTCTCTGATAATCCCACAAAATGTGTATCTTTTGCAGAGAGCTTGCTTGTAACCTTGGCCCTTTCCCAGTGGGTTACTGTTTTCATGTTAGTTCACAGAATCATTTACCTCCTCTCCGTGTGTCCCCTTGTGGATTAAACAAGCTGGAAACATCTCCTAGTCTGTCATCTTTTTGCTTTGTTTGGTGTCTTTTTGACAAGTAGAAGTTTTTAACCATGGTGTCTAATTTATCAACCTTTCCCCTTCTGTTTTAGGATTTTTACTGTTTAAAAAACACTTAGGAGCTGGGGGCGGAGCTCAGTGGTAGAGTTCAGCACCCACCAGGCCTGGTTCAGTCCCTAGCACTGCAAAAAAACCCCGAAAACAAAACCAACTTCCCTCTCTACCATAAGGGCCCGCTCTCCTACATGATTCTGAACACTGTCCCAGGATGCTTCCGTTCCGGGGGGCTGTTCCTTGGCTGGCGGTGCCAGTCGTGCCTGTGCCTTGTCCTCGGTGGTCGAAGATGTGGCTCAGAGCCTCGGGACCACATGTCGCCTGGCCTGCTGGTGGCCGCTTTCTCTGATTGTGAATCCACAACCTCCCAGGGGTTCTTCTTTCTGAGAATGGCCAGGCCAAAGCCTTTCTTCTGATCTGAAACTTGGGGTGCAGTCAGGAATCCTGGAGAATCTAAGTACAGTGCTGAGCTTGGGAAGTCACTTGGTCCCCTCAGCATCCCGGAAAAGAAGTCTTCTGCCAAACTCAGGGTGCAAAGGCACTTTCCCTGCAGGGCCCGCTTGCTGGCAGAGCTTTCACCCACAAGCAGCCTTCCAGAAACTGCCATCCTATGCTGGGCCGTGAAAACTCAAAGACCCTCGAAAGCCCTGGTGGCGGCAGCCCACTGACGGGGATGGGAGGTGATGGGGAACGGAGGAATCTGACGCTGCAGGGCTCTGGAACCATGGTGAGGAGTCCAGGTTTTATTACAATCACAGCGAGAGAGCAGGGAGGGTTTTAGGCAGGGGACTGATTTGTCCTGATGCTTATTTTTTTGGTACTGAGGATTGGACCCAGGCCTTTGCACTGAGCTACATCCCCAGCCCTTTTTATAATTTTAAATTTTGAGACAGGTCTAAGATACTCATTATATATTGTTTGTTCAAGTGATCAATCAAAAATGATAAGGAAATGGCTCAGTAAATTGTTAAGTCACTTTCTCCTTGCTGAGACACAATACCACACGCCTGCAAACTAAGGGAGGAGAGGTTTATTTTGGCTCAGTTTGTAGAGGTTTATAGAGGTTTCAGTTCATAATCAGCTGGCTCCAGGGCAGGGAGGCTCAGAGAGGCCTGGAGGAGGTCAGGAGCTCGAAGCATGGTGGGGAGGAAGCAGAGGAGAGGTCAAGGAGGAGTAGGGGAGGGAGAGGAACTTCCAGCCCATACCTCCAGTGACCAGCTCTTCCCACCACCTAACAGCAAGTCAGCTCTAAGACTCCGTAATCCAATCCCCTGTGGCTCTGGGGGGTGTTCAGATATAAACCATAGCATCCTTCCCCTGGTCCCTAAAAGACTTGTGCATATTCCTTTATATGAAGGCATTTAGTTCATCTCTAAGAGTTCCCAAAGTCCTAGCAGTTCCAGCATGGCTGAAAAGTCCAAGTACTAAGTCTCCTCTGAGACTCAAGGCAAACTCCACCTTGAGCCCTGTAAAAATCAGAAGAAAGTTAAACACCACACACATGCAGTGGCACAGGGTAAACAAGCCCATTCCAAAAGAGAGAACAGGGCAACAGAAACCAGTCTATGGCCCAGAAATGGGCTTGAACTTGCAATCTTACTGCCTCAGTCTCCCAGAGTGCTGGGACTGCAGATGTGCACCACCATGCCCAGCAACAGTATAAACTTGATTTTCAACTCTGAACTTATCTTAAAAAATGAGCTTGTTGGGCTGGGGATTTAGCTCAGTGGTACCAGCGCCTGCCTGGCAAGTGCAAGGTCCTGAGTTGGATTCCTGGTACCAAAAGAAAAAAAAAATGAGCGTGTGCTGTCCTGCACATACAGCATGCACAATCCTCTCCTCATTTTCTGAATATATGATAATTTATAAGTTATGTGATAATTTTGTTAAATTCATCTTCAGTGCTTATGTTGTGACTATATAAATAAAAGCTAAGCCACATAGTGTACAATGATTTTATTTCTTTTGTTCAACTTTTTGTTTCTCCTGTGGCTTATAGTCACCTAATTTTTAATTTTGTTTCTGTATACAAATCACTAACTCTACACAAATTCTTCAACAGAAGTATAAAACTCTTCACAATATAGAAAACAACCCAGATAATCCATAAACTGCATTGTTTTCTTAGATGGTTTTCTTGGGGTTCTCATCCATTTTGCTCCAAATGGGGCCAGTGCTCTGTGGATCGGCTGCTGTGGAGTCTTTCCTCACTCTCATCACCATTGTTTTGTTTTTGTTGTTGTTTTTTGGTACCAGAGATCGAACTCGGGACCTTGCGCTTTCGAGGCAGGCGCCGGAACCACTGAGCTAAATCCCTGGCCCCTCTCATCACCATTGTTATGGGAATTCCCTTTACCAGTCTCTCACTCAGTTTTCAGGTACAGCAGGCAGCGAAACCACTGAGCTAAATCCCCGGCAGTTTTCAGGTACAAATAAAGCAGCTGACTTGGGCCTGAGGGTGTAGCTCAGTGATACAGTATGTGCTTAGTGTGCTCGAGGCCCTGGGTCCAATGCCCAGTACCAAAACAAACATACAAAAAACAGACTCACTAATTAAGCAGGGAAGGAACTCACAGATTATCTGACGTGCATTGTAAGAAGTTTCATAGCTTTGTTGAGAATTTGAGGATGAAACAGTGACTTGTATGTTGAAAAAGCATCACAAAAACAAACACAAAACGCAAAGCAAATAAAATGATGATGCAATCATCAACTCCAAGACACACAAAAGTCTAACAACAAAAGAAATACAATTGCCGAACACTACAGGGACACCATAGTGCAGAATCGTATCTGATGGCAAAACTGATAATATTGCTACTAAGCCCTGGATGCCAGTTTGCACCCTGACTCTTTCATACTCTGTAGCCCACATGGTTGCCTCCACCATCGCATGGCTATAGCACATTCTGTGTTCCTCTATTCCCTATACAAATGCGACACCACTACATCTCATCAATAGAGCCCAGGTCACAGGTCCTGGGTACACGCAGCTCAGAAGTGGGTTCTTTTCAGTTCCCTTGGAGGTGTTGGTGTTGGCCCATGGTTTGTCCCTGTCAATATGACAGGATCTTGGGCCTGCCATGGGGATGCTGAGGGCCAGGGCCTCATTGGAGTCCTTTGGCCCCTGGGCGTGCTGCCCTGGGAAGGGAACACTGTCCCCTGGAATAAGTCCTGGGAGTGTGAGTTGTTATAAAAGCCCAGTTCCTCCTCCTTGCTTTGGCTTCCAGTTTTGTGATACGATCTCCCCCTCTTTCACCCACAAACCTCTTTTCTTCATAAACAGCCTACCTCAGGCATTTATAGTAGTGAAAAACAGACAAATACAATGTTGTTTGTTTGGTTCTTTTTTTCAGTGTTGTTGTTTTTATTTCCTGCTCAATCCCAAGACTCAAGGTAAGACGGTAGCTAAAACACAGAAGGCCATTTGATAGCTGGGCCAACTGAGACCCACTCGCTCTTCTTTCTTGGTTTACACCCAGGTGTAACAGGGACTTATATCCTCCAGCAGTTACTGAAAAAGGGCAGGAAGGGAGGTGAAGTTTTAGAAAAGCCATGTCTAAATAATATCTCTAATGTATGATTTTACTTAAGTAACGGTTATAGAACTCTGGGTTGGGAATTAATTTCCTGTGGAAATTGGAAACATTGATCCATTGTCTTGTAGCATCTGGTGTTGCTTTTGAGAAACTCAATGCCATTGCACTCTCTGATCTTCTGTATGTGGATTTTCCACGTTCCTCAATCTGGTTTTGCATCCCTGGGATCCAGGGATCTTCCTGCCTCAGCTTCCCAAGTAGCTGGAACTATAAGCCAGCACCTCCATGCCAGGATGATAGGTGGAATGCAGGATGAGTCCCGAAGTGTGGTCCTTTGTTCATTGAGCTGGATCTTACTCAAAAACTCCTCTTTTAATACAGAAACATCTTCAGTTCTAGAAGCTTCTCCTGAATAATTTCTCTCCTTTCTTTTCTTTCTTTTTCCTTGAGCTCCTGAGGTACATGCTGGGCCTCCTACGCCGATTTGCTCATCCTCTTATCTTTTCTGTTATATTTTCCATCTCTCAAAAGTCTTTCTATTCTCCTTGCTGGTTCTTTGATCTCTTGCATTAAAATTTTTACTTTTGTTATCACAATTTTAATATCCAAGAGGTTATTTTTTTAATCAATTTTTGTGGTACTGGGGATTGAACCCAGGGCCTTCACACTGACCCAAATCCCCAGCACCACCATCCCCTTTTTGCAAGATCCTATTTTTTGGGGGGGGGTACCGGGGATCAAACTCAGAACCTTGTGCTTGCGAGGCAGGTAGTGGCACCACTGAGCTAAATCCCCAGCCCACCATCCCCTTTTTGTAAGACAAAGTCTTGCTAAATTGGCTAGGTGGAACTCAACTTGTGATCCTCCTGCCTCAGCCTATCAAATACTAGAATTATAGGCTTGTGCCACCATGCTTGGCTCCCTCTCTTTAAAAAAAAAAATTGTGCTTATGACTGCTGTGTTCCTTTGTTCTGTCTGTCTGTCTGTCTGTTTGGGTCACTGTCTTTCATCCTAGGTCTCTGTCTCAGCCCACATGGCACGATCCCTGGCTGTCTGGCCAAGTTTAAGAGTGCGATGGTGAACCTGTCACTGCACAGCAAATGTGACAGGCAAGTGGCCTCACTGTGAAGCAACAGAGCGAGAAGCCAGCTCTTCCACGGGTCCCCTCCATGTTGCCCCTGAGGATCCTTTTTCTCACAGTGTCAGTCTCCAAGGCCCTGCCTGGTGGCTGGTCAGTGTGTAAGCTCTCAGGTGAACCCTCCTTTTCTCCACAGACTGCCGCCCCCGCCGTTGGCAATGCCCTCATGGCCTCCCTGTCCCAGGCTGGGGATAGGCCTGGGCCAGCCCAACTGGTCATTGCCTACAGGAAGCCCACCATCTTCTGCTGGTGTATCCAGGGAGCTGGCGCTGTGGACTGAGGGTGACCTTTAACATACACTTTCAGCCGGGCTTCCTGCTTCTAGCCCCACTGCACCCCAACTTTGGGACAAGTCACAGGTGCACCCCTCAGCCCAGAGCCCTCCTCCCCATGGCAGCAACAGCAGCAGCAGCAGCCTCTTGGAAGCCTGGCTGAGGTCTAGTTTGCTTCCCCTTATTTGCTCCTAGCACAAATTTGGATCACTCTTCCTTGGGTTGTGACAGGCCTATGGAGAAGTTCCCTCTGCCTGGAGAGCTGGGGAGGGTAGGTTTTGTTCAAATTCTTAATGTAGCTGCAAAATAATATTCCCTCCTTCTCCCCCACCCCATGTTGCTCCCGTTCCCAACCTACCTGTCTAGGACTGGCCGAGAAAGACCTCCAGCAATGGCCCCTCAGGCTGGCAGATCAAAGGTGCATCGGGATCAGTGAGCGTCATCCCACATGCCTGCTTCTGAGCTCCTTAGATGTCTGGAAGGAAGGAAGGAAGGAGAAAGAAGGGGGGAAGAAAGGAGAAAGAAAGAAGGAAGGAAGGAAGGAGAAAGAAGGAAAGAAGGAAGGCAGGCAGGCAGGAAGGCAGGAAGGCAGGAAGGCAGGAAGGCAGGGAGGCAGGCAGGCAGGCAGGCAGGGAGGCAGGAAGGCAGGAAGGCAGGAAGGAAGGCAGGCAGGGGGGGGGGGAGGTGTGTTAGAACCAGAGTCTCTTGGGCTGGACTTCAGCTCAAAAGCAGCAGCTTTGCCCGGGTTTCCCTTCTGGCAAACCACTCCCACTCTGCTCCATCAGGCCTTCTCACCACCTGCCTCGATGGCAGCCCAGCTCCCCTGGGTGACACCAAAGCAAACCACAGGAGCATGTCTCCCGAGCCCGAGCAGGGACGCACACACAGACAACACGCTGCCTTCAGAGCTGTTTCTGTTTTGTTTGGCTTTTGAAAGCAAAGCGACCGTTCTGAGCCACGCCTGGGCTAGAATTCCCCTCGATGGCTGCAGAAAGTAGGTTCCCGCACCCGAAAGCTCAGTCCCCGCGTGGATCTATCTTCAAAGCCCAGGTCAAAAGGCACATTCAGCCCTGTTGGGCTGCAGATGGGAAGTGCGAGGGAGGGGCACTGCTCCTGTCACCAGCGCGGGAAGCCTGGAGATCATCTGACCTCAGAGTGGGCAAAGAAAGACTGGAGGGCCGCGGCTCAGCCCTCACAGGGAGCTTCAGCCTGGAGCCCGCCGGGCGGTGGGTGAGGAAAGCTACACCGCTGGCTTCTCCGTGAGACAAAGCAGAGCCCGGGAGCCCACTGGAGGAGGTAGGTGTGACTGGGACGATTCCCGGGGGCTTCCTGGTCCCCTCGATCAGCATCCCGGAGGGCGGCCGGGGCTTCCCAAGGTGCTGCCAGCAGGGCACAGCCCGCGCCCAGGGCCAGGGAGGACCCAACTTCCATCCTCCGAGCAGCAGGAAGGGACAGCAAGATTGCAGCCAAAGACAAAGCTGAGCCCAAGCCGAAGCCCAGAGAGGAGGCAAGGGAAGAACTGGTCCTCAGGAATTCAGGGCAGGGAACCGGGAGGCAGGGCAGAGTCCACGGAGGCGCCGGGAGAAGGAAGGCTCGTGCAGGGAGGAGGCCGGCCGGGGCCTCCGGACCCCCTTGTCCTCCCGAGAGTAAACAGCGCGTCCCAGACCGGCCCGCTCACCCCAGCACGGGCGGTGGCGGAGACTTCGGGATCGACCCGGAGCCACAAAAGGATGCGGGGCGCAGGAGAGCATCGCAGCCCCGCCCGGGACCAGCGCCACGAGACCCCCCTGCCTCGGCCGGCCTCGCCAGCGGGGTCTGGACTCCCGGGACCTGCCCGCCTCCCGCCCGCACTGCCCGACCCCGGAGACGCCACCCTGCGCCCCACCCCAGGCCGACACAGCCCCAGCTGGGCAGGGCGGGGTGTGGATCCGGCTCAGGGACCCCGCGGACGCCCGCAAAGGTGGGTTTCATACCGGGTGTCCGTGCCAGGGGCGGGGTTCGGGCTCCCTGGAGACGGTGGCCCACGGGACACGGCGAGCGGGTCCGGGAATGGCCGGAGGCCACCAGGTGGGCAGCGGCGAGTGGCGCGGCCGGGGGCGGGGCCCTTGTGGGCGGGGTGGGGCCGCTCACAGCCAGGCCAGGCGCAGCCCGCGGAGGCGGAGGCGGGGCCGGGGCCCTCGTGGGCGTGGGCGGGGGCGTGGGCGCTCACAGCCGGGCCAGGCGCAGCCCGCGGGGGCGGGGGCGGGGCCCTCGTGGGCGTGGGCGTTCACAGCCAGGCCAGGCGCAGCCCCAGGAGGGGGGGGGGGAGCCGCACAGCCAGAGCTGCTGGAGGCCGGAGCCTGCAGGGGCGGGGGGCTGAACCACCACGCACTGTGGCCTTGGCCCCGGGCTCCGAAACAACCGGAGAATGGAAGGTGCCGTCTGCAAAGTGAGCCGCCGGGGCTGGTCGTCTGCTCCCGCATCCCTGGGCAGCCCCGGAGGGACGCAGCGCGGTCTCCGAGCCGTGGATTTAAGCTCGAATCCCAGGGAGCCCGCTGCACTCCTGCGAGGGCCTGCCCGCCGGGGCTCCCCCAGGTCGGCTTTGGAGATGAGTGGGTTTCCTCGCACTCATCTGCGCCCCCTGGTCTCTCCCAGGCTCCCACGCGCGCGGCTCCCCTCGGGTGGTGAATGAACCCCGAGGCCGGAGGTCGAGGGCTGCCACCCCACCCACGGCCGCACCGCACCCAGACCCGATCCGCACAGCCTCTTGGTGCACTGGCGCGGGACTGCTTTGTGCCGAGCCCATGAACTTTCGCTCTGCGTCGTCCCGTCGCCTTAGAAGGTTCTTTCCGGTCCACAGCCCCGGACTGAGGCCTTGCACCGTGGGAGTGAGAACCAGTATCCTCCCACGCGTGTCCCGCGGTGGGGACAGAGTATGATGGGGCTCCCAGCCGCTCCGGATGAGGCCCCCCAGGGCGCCGCCCGCGCACCCCGGGGGCCGGGAGCGCGAGGAGAATGGGGGGGGGATCGTGGAGCCCGAGGTGGGGTCCCCAGGCCGGGCACCGCCCACGGCCTTCGGCGGCCTCTTGCGTCCCTAGCGCCCTACAGGATGACCCCGTTTCATCTCCAGATGCCACACACAGACCCTCGAAGGAGACCCTGCACATAGGCACAGCTTCGTACACAGACTGGCACTGGGCCCTGCGCCCCACACACTGCCACGGACGCGAGAAGTCACAGGGTCGGGACCGCTCTGCCGGCCAGCGGAGGGGCCCTGCCAGGTCGCCCTCCACACCCTCCACCTCTGGCCTGGGCCTGGGGACGGTGGACGGCAGCTGAGCCTGGGTGATTCAGCCAGGGTGTGCAACACAGGTCCCCCCTGCAGGCTGCCCAAGGGGGTGGGGTTCCAGGAGGGGAAGTAAATGGCTGGAAGTCACAGCCGGACCTTGGACTGGCAGCCACAGGCTGGGAGCTTTGCCATCTAGGTGCACAGGGTTGATGCCTCTCACAGCCCCCAACAGGGAAATGTCACCACGCCCCTGTTCCTTTCTCTACCGCAAGGATCTTAGCGGAAGTCAAGCTCAAGAACAAGATCCCCAACAGCAGCGGAACCCACTGACCTGGCTGGGGTGCAGATTGGAGATGCCAGCCACCGGTTTCTCTGGAGCCCGGAGAAGAATCCCAGTCTTTGAAATGGCAAAACCCACAAAAGGTCACATCCCTGTGTTTGAAAGATGTGCGGGGACCATGCTGACAAATTCTGGAAAGATACAGACCATAATGAGTTGTTTGGAGGGAATTAGGGAGATAACAAGGTACGCGGAAGTCTCTAGAACTGTGTGTGGTGTGTGGAGAAAGTGAAAGCACTGTCCCACGTACTACGCAACAGGCACCAAGAGATCTGGGTTGCCCAAGTCACACAGCTGGTTAGGGCACAGGGAGGAAAATCAGTCTCCTGATTCCTAGTCAGGGCTCTGGTTCCTCCAGTGCTTTCTGAAACCAGTGAGGATATAAATAGTCTAGGGGATAAACAAGTGAGTTGTACTACAGTTAAAAATCAGATTAAAGAACTTAGATTTCTGTCCCTCTGCTTGTTATGGCCAAAAGGAACAGGTCCTCGAAAGTCAGCTAGAGTGAGACAGGAAACCAAGTGCATTCCCGCCACCCCTCATCCTTGTTCGGCTTAGGGACCCACTAAGGGGAGAGTTTATTTGTCCTTGTCCCTCTCTTGACACCTCCCGGTCATCTCACTGTTGCAGCCTAGGCCTCCCTCAGGTGCCCACTGATCTCCCAAATGCCAGCCCTGCTGAATTCCGCCTTCCTCTTCCTACTCAAATGGGCCACAGCATTCCTAAGTGTGGTCAGATAAGACCCCAAAGGCTAAAGTCAGGGAAGAACTAGAGGCAACTAACAACAAACCAGGTAAATGTTTTAAGTTATAGGCATTCCTCGTTTAAGGATCAAGTTTTATCCTTGCTACTATGTTGTGAAATGAACTGGTCCCTAAATGATAAAGGAGGAGGTATAGATAGTACGGACATTACACTATTCAGAACAAAGAAAAGGAAACTCCAACTTGATGACTTTGCTTTTTTTTTTTGAGACAGAGTCTGGCTTTGTAGTTCAGGTTGGCCTTGAAATCACTATGTAGTTCAGGCTGGCCTTGAACTCGTGGTGATCCTCCTGCCTCAGCCTCCCAAGTGCTGGGATCACAGGTATGCACCACCACACCCTTTGATGACTTTGCTTTGATTTGTATAACTCTCACATGCAGTATTGTAATGTATAACAGAACATAAAACTATACTACTGTACTGTACACTACAAGCAGCAAAAATTGCAGTACTGTGTAAAGTGTACTGTACAAAAAAGACACTGAGGCTCTATAAAGATGTCCAGAACTCTGCAGAAAAGATGGGTCATAAGTCTGAGCAGTGGGACATAAATCGAAACAGTTGTTAAACAGGTGGGTCAGAAATGAGAAATACCTACATGTTAGGAAAAGAGGACAGCTATGCAAAACCATCTGCTTAAAGGGGAGAGGGAGCCTCCATGTTTATTCGCATAATCTGCCCCTCCTGTTCCTTTAATTTTGTTTTGCTCTGGTTTTTCTGTTTTTGGGGGTTTTTTTGGGGCGATGGGGTCTCCTTATGTCACCCATGCTGGCCTCGAACTTGGGCTCCAGCAATCCCTTGCCTTGGCCTCCTGGGTAGCTGGAACTGGAAGCTCGGGCCAACATACCCAGCTGTTCCCTTGGTATTTTTATTCTCAAAGCACAGGATGAAGGAGCCTAATTACATGTGCTGATCTTCTGTCATCTTTACTCATTTTCATTAAGTTTTGAGTCCTCACTCTCCACTTGATTCAAAAAAGTGGTTCAACTGTAGTTAAAAAGCAAAGTTAATTAAAATCTTAATCTTTTTTTTTTTTTTAAAGTCAACTCCCCAAGCTTAGACCAAAGCTTATCCCTCACTGAGGCTCTCAGAGTTCGGGACCTGGGGCAGAGTTGGGGTTGGGGTAAGAGAAAATGACTGGCAAAGAGAAAATGACACTTGTGTTCACATTATTCAGTCATTCATGTCTCAACCAAAAAGCATGGGTGGCCTTGGGAGCACAGCCTTGGAGTTGGACCCCGATGTGGAGCAGTTCCTGAGGTCTCCAGAGCTGCCCCTGTGGGTAGAACAGGGCACCAGTGCACAGGGCTGACCTTGGCTGGCAGAGGCAAGGCTCAATGGTGCAGCACATTCAGGGGACCCCCTAGGGGTGCCTCCAAGGGGAGCACCCAGTTGGGCTACACCTGCCCCTGTTTCTGTGAGCTTGGGTTCCCAATTCCAGGATGAGGTCCTTTGACTTGTGTGGTCAGCATTTCACTGCTGTGTGCAAATCCATGAGAAAAACAACCTAGAGGAAGAAAGACTGGCTCATGGTTTCTGAGGTTTCAGTCCATGGTCAGCCGGTCCCATGGCTTTAGGCTGTCATGGGATGTGAGAGGAAAGCCAGGAAGCAGAGAAAGAGGAAAGGGCTGGGGACAGGATAAAGTCCCCAGGGTCACGCCCCTATGACCCACTCCCTTCAGTGAGGCCCCAACACCTGCCAATAATGCTATCAAATTATGATCTCATCTCTGGGGATTTAGCTCAGTGGTTCTGCCACCTGCCTCACAAGCACCAGGTCCTGAGTTTGATCCCCAGTACCAAAAAAAAAAAAAAAAAATTACGATCTCATCAATGGGTTAACCCGTGAATCCTCACAATCCAGTCACCTTCCAAAAGTCCATCCCCTGAACACATTAGCTTTCTGGGGACCTTTATTTGTTTGATTTGAGACAGGGTCTCCCTACGTAGCTCAAGCTGGGCTCCAACTCTAGGTGGTCTTCCTGCCTCAGCCTCACAAGTGCTGGGATTACAGGCATGCACCACCACAACAGGCTGTGGGGACATTTTAGACCTCAACTATAATAACTTCCTTTATAGATGAAAAGACATTCTCTGTAGAAAATGCCAATTGTGCCACTGTGAATACTTATTAAGAAAAATTAGAATAAGGAAAGAAATGGCATTGTGTATATTCCCTGTCTAGGCTTATGAAAGATCTCCAGCGTATATGGAAATGATTTTCTAGAATCTCCTTGTGACATCTCTAGATGTGTTTGAGAAACTGAGGGAAAGAAATTAAACTAAGGGCTAGGAAATATTAAAAATCAAAGAAGATAGAAGAAAGCAAGAAGAATGAACCTGGCAATATTATAGTCACCAAGTTATGCTGAACGAGGTCAGATTCTGTGTCCGGAATGGGCCTCTCGGGAGAGACAGGAAGAGGGCTGGGGTTGCCGGCCACTGTGAAAGATGCAGGGATTGTCCCAGGAATGATGCAAATGTTCTGTAATTGGTACCAGTGACCGCTCTGAAGACACTAGGAAACATGAACTCTGCTGTGTGACGCCCACTGATAAAGCTCATTATACTGGAAAAGGGGGAGGGAGAGGGATCAGAGTGGGCAGTGGTGTCGGTCAGGGTGCTGCCACCTGCCGGCTGAGGACTCTGCGCTTCCAGGGGGTTGGGGGGCCCAGAGCGGCACAGGTGTGTGCCCCACACGGTGCGCATGCACGGCATCCCACGACCACCCAGTTTGCTGTTAGCAAACAACACAGGAAGCTGGTCCTTAACGAAAGCCTCTAAAGAAGGGCTGGATCACAGAAAGGATTGGCAAAGCAGGAAGTAAACCTGCACAACATCTAAGAGGTGGTCAAAGCATAAAATAAGAGCTGCAGATTTTGTTTTTCTCTCTTATCTAGTCGTCCTCCCCCAGTACTGGGGATTGAACTCAGGACCTTGTGCTTGCTGGGCAGGTGTGACGACACTGAGCTACATCCCCAGCCCTTCTAGTTTTTTTTATTTTAGATCTGGCTATGTAGTTCAGGCTGGCCTCAGAATCACTATGTAGCCCAGGGTGGCCTCAGACTCACAGCAATCCTCCTGCCTCAGCCTCCCAAGTGCTAGGATTGCAGGTCTGTGCCACCACGCCTGGCTCAAAACTGGCACAGAGAAGACAGAGGTTAGATCCACACAGCTCTTCCATGAAGCCCAGTAGAGTCTGGGGATGGACTTGGGGGGGCGGTCTCAGCAAGTCTCCTCAAATTACATGCAAAATGTGCCAGCAAGGAGAAAGGCCCCATGATTTTCAGCACATTTACAAAAGGATTTAAAATCTAACACAGTTTGAGAACCACTGGGTGGTCCAGGCGAAGTGGATGACGGGTTTTTTTCTTCCTCTGGCAAATCTGTTTTACAGCTTTAAAAAACTGACCCATAAAAGTTGTACATGTTTATGGTGGGCCATGGGATACTTGGGTACATCCTGTGTACACTGTGTAACGGTCAAATCTGGGTAGGCACATCTCTCTCTTCCAACAGCATTTCTATGTGATAAAGACAGTCAAGATCCCCCTGGTGTTTTTTGAAGTCAACAGGGGCCGTGGGTGAGGTGCCGTGTACAGTGCGTGTTCAGAGCGCTTGAAGCCCAGGGCTCCACCTTCAGCCTCAAAGCAAAGCAAAGCATCACGGTACATTATTATCATCTGAAGTTACTGCCGTTTATTTTTATTGATTTTATTTATTTTCTTTTTTCTTTCTTTTTTTTTTGATACTGGGGATCGAACTCAGCACCTTGCGCTTGCAAGGCAGGCTCGGTGCCACTGAACTAAATCCCTGGCCTGCTTTTATTTATTTTCTGAGACAAATCTCATTAACTTGTCCTGGCTGGCCTCAAATGCGAAATTCTCCAGTCTCAATCTCCCATGTAGCTAAATATTTTCTAAACTGCAAATTCCACTTTCCCTCTTCTGTCTTGGTCTCATTCTCACCATGCACACACACTCTCTCTCTCTGTCAGGGTGACAGTGGACACGGGTCCCCCACCCCGGACGACAGCTCCCTGCAGCCCACCCCACGCTCCTCACTCATGTCAGCCCCGAGGGTGGCCACAGTCCCTGACCCACCACTCAAGCCTCCTCCACCCTTCCTCATCTTGTGAGGCCCCGGGTTTGCAGTCAACCCTGTCTACACTGGCGGAAGGCAGGGACTCAGCAGCCACACCATCTTCTCCCATCTCCCTCCGCAGGGGCCCTGCTCCTCCCACCCTGACAGCACCTGTCCGGCTCATTTCTGCTCCAGACCCGGAGCCTCTTCCTCATCCACTAGGCTGGTCCTCTGGGTCACAGCGGGCACCCCCGTTCCCGGGCCTGATGCCCGTTTTCTCATGGTCTCATCCAGACAGCTCCTCCCCCCAGACAGGCATTCAGTGAAGAATGAGGGAAGTGATGCAGCCAGGTGTGGTGGCGCACACCTGTAATTCCAGCACTCGGAAGGCTGAGGCAGAAGGATTGCTGAGAGTCCAAGGCCAGCCTGGACTACATAGTGGGACCCTGTCTCTATAATATAAGAAAAAGAGCAGAGCCCGAGGTGGTAAAACAAAACAAAATCTGTGCAGAGGGGACTGGAGGCGAGACTCAAATCCAGGCAGACTCTGGATTGAGCCCTGCCCTCGAATCTGGGGTGCACGGCCTCTCCCCGGACCATGTGAAGGGACTGGGCCAGGTCACCTGCTCACTCATGGATCCCAGGTCTCCTGTCCGAGCGTTCCAACCCTCGGGCTCAGTATGCTGCCTCTCAGGGCCAACAGGCTGCCTGCTGGGTGGCAGGAAGTCAGGACTCCTCAGGTCTCTGCGCACCAGCCAGGGTTCCTGTGCTGCTCCGACCCGCTGCCACTTCCTCCCCAGTGTTTTTAGCTGTGTGACCTTTGCATAGTGGGCGGAACATGGGTGTGGCAAGAAAGCCAAAGTGAAGCTGGATGGTTTCTTGTTTAGTTTTTGATTTTTGATAGCGCTTTGTTATGTAGCCCAGGTTGGTCTTGCACATGTGATCCTCCTGCCTTCGCCTCCCAAGTGCTAAGATTACCATCGTGGCCTGCTATGAAATTCAATGTTTTAGAAACCCAAGAAAGGCAAGTCACTAAAACAAACTTTCTGTGGAGTTTGGGTTGGCAAAACAAGTGTAAAGGATTGGTGAGAGTTATAAACTGTATGAGGGCCACACATGGCAAGTAAGGCCCGGGCAATAACGGGAACCTCCTCCCCACTCGAATGAAAGCCCTCCGTCCCTTGCTAAGATCAGTGAACCAACACATACAGATGTGCTTTAAGCTAAAATACAATGTTTAGATTTGAGTTATAGCCTCTTTTTTTTTTTTTTTTTTCTACCAGGGATCCAACTCGGGACCTTGCGCTTTCCAGGCAAGCGGTGGAACCACTGAGCTAAATCCCCAGCCCTATAGCCTTTTAATAGTTATCTTTCTTTTTTCAGTACCAGGGATCAAACTCAGGACCTTGCACTTGCCAGGCAGGTGTGGTGCCACTGAGCCAAATCCCTGGCCCTATAGCCTTTAATAATTCTCTACCTAAAACCAAAGTTTCAATTCCTCAACCAATAAGTCAACTAGGACTAAGGGGGTTTAAAAAAAAAAAAAAAAAAGCACGTCTATAATCCCAGCACTCTGGAAGGCTGAGGCAGGAGAACTGCAAGTTTAAATCTAGCCTTGGACAATTTAGAGACTTAGTGAGACCCCATCACAAAATAAAAAAGGCTTGGGGAAGTAGCTTAGTGTAAAGACCCTGGCTTCAATCCCAGTACTATTCACACACACAGTGTTTGGATAAAACTGTTCATTTCTCATCGCAATCCCATCTAGTCATTCATCACACTATTTTCTCAGCCTAAGGTTAGAGTCGCTGCATTGAGAGTAGCGGAAGTCATAGAAAAACATACACATCTTCCCAGAGAATCTATTTGACTCAAAAGTTAGGGAGAAAAAAAAAGTTAGGGGGAAATATTCTTTATAGTAAACTAAACATGCACGTATCATGGACTAGAATGTGAAATAAAGTTAGCGTTAAAAATAGAGTCTGAGTTTCAAAGCCAGGTCACGGCTGGGCTGGGAGGTGGGGACCGGAGCGCACATCCCATCTCCCCGGCCAGAGTGGCTGGGAGCGTGGGGGAGGAAAGTGGTCACACGACAGGAGGGCTCTGTGGGTGGCCGCTTCCGAGGCAGCTGGCCTGGGGGGGGGGTGCGGTTCCCACGTGACAGGGCCACCTTGAGGGGGGGGCAAAGTCATCACGTGGTCGACCTCACTGCCAGTCCAGTCCAGTCCAGCCCAGCGCGCGGGGGGGGGGGCGCGGGGGGGGCTGTTCTTGGCCCTGCCTTGCAGGAGGGAGGAAATGGCCGGGACAAGATCACACCTACCACAGCCTGTTTGGTACCCAGAGCTACTTCCTACGAGCAAGGGCTGGGAAGGCTTTAAAAAGGAAGTCAACAGGACCGGGGATTTAGCTCAGTGGTTCCGGAGCCTGCCCCGCAAGCGCAAGGTCCTGAATTCGATCTCCGGTACCAAAAAAAAAGAAGTCTACAAAGCAAATTTCTATGTACTGTGCATTCTGTAAGAGTCATTCACAGGAAGATCAAATAAACTAATGAGTAAATAACCCTTCCCACTTGCCAGCATTTGTATCTGGAAGGTCCCCCAAGGGCCACGTGTTACAGCTTGGTCTTCAGTTTGGTGCTGTTGGAAGGTGGTGGCTCCATTAAGAGGCAGGGCTTAGTGGGCGTGGCCTGGAACCCACCGAGGTGAGCAGCTTACGGGCCAGTGCCTTCCTGAAGCAGCCACGCAGCTCCCGAACCTCCAAAACTGTGCGCCAAAAACCTTTCTTTCTTTTTGGTTACCGGGAATCGAACTCGGGACCTTGCGCTTGTGAAGTAGGCGCCGGAACCACTGAGCTAAATCCCCGGCCCTACTTTTCTTTTTTTGAAGTTGACTATCTCAGGTATTTTGCAATAGAAAGAACCACACCGTATGGCCATTAATCACTTATGGCACCGATACCTGTCATTTAAAATTTATTCCCTCCCACCTTGTGGGCTGCAAAGATCCATTCTTTGCTATGGCCAATGGCAACATCACAACTTTTTTTTTTGGTACGGCGATTGAACTCGGGACCTTGTGTTTGCAAGGCAGGCAATGGAACCACTGAGCTACATCCCTGGCCAATGGAATTTAAAAAAATTTTTTTTTTTTCCACTGAAATTTTTTTGAGATGCTCAGGTAAGGGGAAAGCTGGGAGGGGGTTGGTGTTTTCTCCTCTAGAAGAAATTTCTCATGAAGTAGTTTACTTGTGGTGAAGGTCCTGATGCTAACGACTCCCTTGTCGACCCAGAAAAAGCCAGGCACAAAGCCAACCCTGGCACTTGATTCTTCAAAGCCCCTGCCTGGGCCCACCCAAGATGACAGCGATGTCATTTTATTCTATGGGGCCTCTGGAATGGGCACCTCGGGCCCAAGCTGGTGGGAAAGCCCCAAATCCCCAGGGCATCCACAGAGCTGCCTCAGTTTCCCAAAGTTCACAAACCAGTTCCTGGTGTGGACCACACAGCAGCCTCCAAGGGGGTCTCTGGCTTTGAAAACCCCGGTGGTGGCGGTGGTGGTCTCTGCCCCATCCCCTGCTTTACGAGGCTGCAGAACCTCAGGGCCCAGGGGCCCCAGGAAATGGCTTGATCTGCTTCCGGGGCCCCCGGGGCCAGCGCAGCCCCTCCACATCTGCTGGGCAAGTGGGTGGACAAAGACTTATTAATTTACATTACAGTGATTATAATGAGGGCAGCTCGTACTTCCTGTCAACTGTGTGTAGCTGATGCTCATCATCTAATTTTTGTCATTTAATCCCTAAGACACACCTAGGAATGGGTACCATCGGCTTCGTTTTACACACAGGGAAATGAAGGGTCAGAGAGGCTATGTCACCTAGTCAAGGTCACCCAGCTGAGAAACGGAATCAGCGTCTGAATCTGAACCTTCCCCTGTAGGGTTCAAGAGTTTAATGATTACATTAGAGCAACTCTCCTGCCATCCACATAGCTAACAACCAGGAAAAGAATGGTCTAACCTAGCCAGCCATAGTGATGCAGGCCTGCAATCCCAGTACCCCAGAGGCTGAGGCAGGAGGATCTCTACAAGTTCAAGGCCAGCCCGAACTGCATACCTAGACCTTGTCTCAAAAAAAGAAAGAAAAGATCTAACCACATTAGTGATAAAAGAAATGCATGTAAGGGCCGGGGATGTAGTTCAAGCAGCACTACACCTGCCTGTCAAGCACAAGGTCCTGAGTTGAATTCCCAGTACCAAAAGAAAAGGGAGGACGCTTGAGAAAATGATGTCATCACTGCTTTGGGACACTTCACTCAGGTTAGGAAGCAAGCTGCTCCCAAGCCCGCGTTCAGTGGAAAAAGGCAAACCACAGGCACACATGCCTGGTTCCTCAAAAACTCCAAAGTAGCACAACTGTATGATCCAGCAACACCACGGTGGGGCCCGGCCCAAAGAAGTGAGAGCAGGGCTCTGACCTTGGCCCTACACCCACATTCCCGCAGCATTACTCATTATTCAAAACAGCCCGTGGGGCTGCGGGTGCAGCTCAGTGGTCCAGCGCGTGCTCAGCATGTGCAAGGCCCTAGATTCCAAAAATACACATGCGTGCGTATAAAATGAAATAGCAAAATGGAAGCAATGCAAGTGTCCACCAACAGATGATGGCGAAAGCAAAACAAGGTACACACAAGAGCCTACTCGGCCCTGAAGCGGAAACTCTGATATATGCTGCAACTTGATGAAGCTTCAAGAAACCATGCGAATTTAAATCAGCCATGAGGCCGGGTGTGGAGGGGCACCCTTCTAATCTCAGCACAGGGGAGGCTGAGGCAGGAGGATCACAGTGAGTTTGAGGCCACCTGGGCTACATAGCGAGTTCAAGCCCAGCCTGAGCTACAGAATGAGACCGTGTCTCAATAAAAAAAATTCTCCCAAATTAAAAAAATAAATTAACTGAATCAGCCAGTCATAAAAGGGCCCACACTGTAGAATTCTACTTCTGTGAGGTACCTAGAGTTGTCAAATTCAAAGTGTTTGTTAGGGGCTACAGCGGGTGAGGAATTTATGTTTCGTTTCCTAAGGTAAAAATTCAATTTTGCAAGATGGACAAAATCTCTGGGGCTGGATGTTGGGGACAGGGACAATAATGCGAATGTGCTGAGTGCCACAGAACTGTACTCAATATGGTCACAACTGAGCCAGCCATGGTGGTGCACACCTGTAATGCCAGCTCCTTGGGAGGCTGAGGCAGGAGGGTCATGAATTTGAAGCCAGCCTGGGTAAGTGGCAAAACCCTGTAAGTATTTGATTCCAGCCCAAGCCTCCACGGCTTGCAAGGGCAATTTGCCCACGGTCAGCAGCAGACAAAAGCCAGCTGAGAGAGAAGCCCAGCCCTGGCTCCAGAGAGCAGTTCTGCTGGGCTGTGGGAACGTGCCCCTGCCCACCGCGTCCACAGCAGGGCCTGATTCTGCTTCCCTGTTTGGGACAAAGCTCTTCTCTCAGTGTCACAAAAGGGAAGAGCAAGGCCCTCTGGGGTGGAGGCAGGGAGGGACCCCGCATCCTGGAATCCCTGGAGTCCCTCAGCCCCTCAGCTCCCAGGTTCTCCCCTCCCACCCTTTAGCTTCAGCCCCCCACATGCCAGCACTGCAGCCACACGGAGCCCTGTCCCCACCGGCCTGGTGAGGCCTCAAGGACCCCAGGGAGCCCAGGACGGGGGGGGGGGCACTCTGAGTAGAGCTGCAGCTCATGAAGCCGGGGAAAGGCAAGCAGAGAGGGTTTCAGGACAGGGACTCAGCAGGGATCTAGGGGCTGAGATCCAGGCCCAAGGTCACCAGGGGAAAGGCCAGGGCAGGACAGGACAGGGGGCAGCACTCAATGCCTTCCCCAGAAGGTACAGAAGCACATCCCTTCTGCTGGGCGTGTTGGCTCATGCTTGCAATTCCATCACTTGGGAGGCTGAGGCAGGAAGATTGTTGAGGCCAGCCTAGGCTACATAGTGAGTTCAAGGCCAGTCTGAACTACATAGTGAGACCTTGTCTTAAAAAAACCAACAAAAAAGACAGAAGACAGAAAGACAGACACATCTCTCCTGTCTGCTGCCCCCAAAAGATACATCCATGTGTTAACCCTGAGCCTGAGGACTGGTAGGAAAAATAATTACATGGAAAGTGGTCTCTGTCAATGTAATGAAGTTAAGGGTCTTGAGATAATTTCTTCCTGGATTGTCTAAG